CAACTACCAAAGGAAGACCCACCAGAAGAGCTAATCTGAGCAGAGGAATGACCACAAAGGTACGTGACTTTGTGAATGGAAACGGCTTTGAAAAACCAGACGAATCCCTCAACCTCCCAAGATGACTCAACATGGAGTTGCGCGCAAATGCCTCACGGAATCTCACGGACGTATTCCCAACAAATCCAAGCGCGCCCCCTCGACCTTTCTTCTTCCCTGCAAGCCTCTCAAATACAAACAGAACGTTTTCAGAATGATGATTAACGTTAATACATATTTATGTATATATGAATGGCACCAAAAAGAACGTTAATAATGTATGTTAATCTATGTTAATGTATGTCAATGTATGTTAATCTATGTTAATGTTAATGTTAATGTGATTTTGGTAAAGTTACACTAATGTTAATGTTAAGTAAATGTCAAGTTAATGTTAATGTGTTAATGTATGTTAGTGTAGAGTATGTTCATGTTAGTAACCATTCTTAAAATTTTTCCACTGCATATGATATGCCAGGGCACGGAGTCAATGGCCACGCTGGAGAGCGATCTTCGTGCGGAGTTGGAGCAGATGGACCAGGTTGGCACGGTTCCATAAGGGGGGTCCCAGCATTTGAAGTGGGAAATCTATGGGAAATCTATGGGAAATCTATGGGATAACGGATTATACTGGGATCTAATGGTGGTTTAGTGGATTTGAATGGGATTTAACGATGATTTTTCATGTAATATCACCACTACTGCGGGGTGCAATTTAATGGGTCATTAATGGGTAGAACAGTTGTATTATATATATATATATATATATAGTGGAACTGCACCCCCAAGTATGGTAGATGTATGGTAATGTATGAACATTTGAGCAGTGGTTGCGAGACCTCTGTTGATTGAAGATTGCACGGGGCTTTACAATCCAATGCAGTGGGGACTGTCGCAATCCATTATAGGAAATCAGAAGGTTTTGAACATTGGGGAAATACCGTTTAATTAGCAAACCATCGCTGTTTTGGGGGTAGCCCGGCTGCATATTTCGTCAACTTACCTTTATGTCACTACATACCCAAAGCTTTTTTGATCTTTTTCGGCTTAACTTCTTGAGACTTTGACCACTGGCAACGATGTTTTGTGCCCCGTGGAACTAAACATGTTTTGGGGGCGTTGGGGGCCAGGGGGGAAAATTTGCTCGTGCACGCCTGTGTACGCAAAGACGGCAGTGGATTTCCGCACAACATCTTGGTTTCTTGTTGTTAGCTTTTTGTGGTAGCGCTCATGACATGTTATACTTCTGGTAACCCTCATGACATCATACACTTCTTGTTGTGACGCTTATGGCATCTTACGCTTGCACTGTGGAAATCCAAAGTAGAACTGCACGGACTGGGGAGTGCTGTAGAGACTTTTGCACATGTCTCTGAGTGATGATGATGATGATGATGATGATGATTGATGATGATGATGATGACGACGACGACGACGATGATGGTCAAGGTCGTGTGCGAACAAAGGACAGGAACGGACCATTGAAGTTGAATTCCTGATTTTTGTTCAGTTTTGTTCATTGTTTGCTGCAACAATCCTTAAATTCATTAAAAAAAACTCATGTGGATGATCTTCTTCAAATGTTTTCATCCGATATTTTTTGCTGCTTACATCCCAAGTTTTCTTCCGCTCCCAGGATCCCGGCCATGGCGACGCTGACGCCGACGCCGATGTTTTGCAGCTGGACTCCTTGGAGCTGGCGCAACTGCAACGTCGTTTGGAGCGCCTTGGAAGAAGCAAAAACCCCAGATTGAACAAGGGTTGGCAATATCATTATAATTGAATCTTTAAATAGGGTATTAATTGGTTATAATTGGTTATATTAGATACTGTATCTGATATAGCTATTATATACCAATAAACTAATATCATGCTATAAGGCTATCTGATATTTTTTTACTACCAAATTACCATATTGAACCATAGTTTACACAGCATTGGTTATAACGGGAAGAATATAAGAATACTTAAGAATAGCATGATATTGGGAATGTAACCTTGAATACTTTTTTTATGGTGCATAACATCGGGTTGGGTGTTCGCGGTATAGGTAAGAATTCTGGTTCAATTACGGTAAATCATTATAATATACTATAATCCCATAGTGGGGATATCACATAATCCGGGATTGATATAATCATATATTAACAACAAAATTATGAGTTACCATGCGTCTGTCAGCCTAACTGTGGATTTGCCGAGCGATTAATGATATTAATGGCCATCCCGAATGCTGGTGGGGTGACCAGAAGCCACCATTCTTGGATGGCACTCATGGGTTGGATACAAGATGGATATGCATATATATATATGTATGTATGTATGTATGTGTACGCATGGTTAGTGGAAAATTGCGGATTTCTGAGACATGGATGATGGATCGCATGAAAATCCCTGGGATGTCGAATGTCATCGACGAAGTACACACAGACACCGGATTCTTGGGGATTAACCAACTGGTGGTTTTCGATATTGGTCCAACTCACTTATGGTTGTGGGAATTAACCAACTACCCTCTGGTAAACGTTTACATAACTATGGAAAGATCCACCATTTTTTATCGGAAAACTCACTATTTCGACTGGGCCATTTTCAATAGCAAACTGTTAGTTTACCAGAGGGTAATAAACATATATAAATATGATGTGGATATAACAAACACACAACCATATAACATCATATAACATGGGCAGACACCAAAAAAAACGTTTTCTAAAATGCAGAAATGATGATAAACCCTATTTCCAGGCAGGCCCAATCTTTTCTGGAAAATGTGTTGGGTGAATTTGGAATTTAATTGTATATGTCATTCTAAGTTTGTATGTGGGCCATTTTAACTGGGGTGCAGTCTAAGTTCTATGTCATTGAATTCACGTCATTTTGCTCCCATTCCAAGTTTCAGACTGTAGCTATAACAAGTGAGGGTTTAGCCAACCAAAACGTGATGGATATCATTCGGTCAATAAACAGGGCATTGGACAATTCCCATGTTTTGTTGTTGAACAACTACCTGTTTTATATATTGGGAAGATGACGTGTGTGTATATATAATATTGTATATATATATATATATCTCATCTTATTTATATATATATATATGTATATATAGAAACAGTGGATTGCCCATTGTCCGGTTGGATTTTCCTGGGTAAAAAAACACCGCACTGGCTGACCCAGCCGCTTCTGAACGGAAAATGGATTGGGGGAAATCATCCCAAACATGGCGCCACAATTCCAACAGCACTGTCAACTGGTGGAATTTCTATTGCCATGTAGCCTCTGGTAATCAATAATGATTCCCGGAGGTTTTAAAACCCAGGCAATACTTTAGGATGAAGATGTAGCTAGTCCACACCAAGGACACGTGGAGGATGTTCCAAATGTACCCGGTGATTTGTTCCGCGAAAACGATCCATTGAGGATTTAAAATAGTAACATGCCTTTCGATGCTTTTCGCGCATTGGAACCTCCATTTTTTTCGATACCGAGACGCCTTGGCTGCAGGAAACGCTTTGCGGTGCGTCTCTCCCTGGCGGATTTGGCCCGAGAGGGCGGGCCTACTGTGAAGCGCTTGGCAGAAGTGATAAGGCAAGGATTGGGGGAAGCTTCGGGTTGAAATGCCATGGGGAACGGGAGAACCAATAAACATGGTGATATCATAGGGATTTCATGGGGAATACCCCCAAAATAGTCATGATCATGAGGAGAATGATGATCGACCAGGGGATTTTCGGCAAATCTGATTTTCAGACAAATATAACTGTACAAAACAAGAAACATCGTAGGAATAAAAACGGCAGTTTCCAGTAGAATCTGCGTTTTCACTCACGCATTCGGAAGATGATCAAGTGGTCCATAGATGGGGACGAGAGTTTTACAGGCCAGCGCTTTCTTAGACTTTTCTGAACATCCCAATTTTCACAGTGATTGTGAGGGTTGGTTGATGACCTGTGTCTTGTTACGGTTACCCTTCGGTAATCGAACATGGCAATGGGAAACATCCTATACATGAAGGCTTATAGCTGGCAAAATAATCTATAAGTGGATATAAATGGTGGATTTTCCCGCAAGCCATGTTTGATTACCGGAGGGTATGTACATGTTGTGAACACCGATATTTGGATGTTGTTCTTTTGTCTATATTGTATATGCCAACCCCCAGCTGGCATCAGGTCTGCATCTACTGCTCCGAGACGTGTCTTGGATCTGTAATACCCTGGGAATTGGATTAGACTCCATTCCACCTGTTTCGTTGGTTTCAATTTGTATACAAGTAGTTTGTACTTTTGTTACTTTTGGCACGGATGCTGTGACCATCCAGACGCTTTTTATAGCAGGACATGATTTTGGAATATTTTGGGCAGCTGCCCAGCCACGTCATCAGAGGAAGATGCCCCCTTTTTTCGATTTTCCCCTTCAAATCTCCGTTTGCTTCGGGGATTTCCATGGATTTCCCAAGGAGCTGCGGATTTCTCCAGCATTCGAAGCTTCCTGGAAGAGACCTTGCCGGAGGAGACGTCAAGTTGGATGCACCTGAAGGCTCCCCACATCAACCTATATATATTATATATATATACACGCTGTATATACGTATGTGTCATATATGTATTCAGAGACATGTTGAATGTCCTGGATATATATATATACTTATACATATGATGCCGGTCCCCGGTCCCGTAGCCCCCCATCCCCCCCAATGGTATGGTCCCCTACTCCCTGACCTAGAATCTTTCATTTCCATGGTATTTACAGCATTTTGGATGCAGAACCTCATATTTCCATGGTATTTGCACCAGTTTGGATGGAAAACCTCATATTTTCATCGTATGTACAACATTTTGGATGCAAAGCCTACTTATATAGGAACTAAAGAGTATAGTTATATTACCTCTTTATACATATATACATATATACATATGTACATATATACATATGTACATTGTGGATTGGGCGTCCAACAAAGGTAGGGATCTGCAACAGTTGAAGAAGGATTGGCTGTCCACGCCAATGAACCACCAATAGTTACTGAAGGACCACCTGAAGTTACCAAATGCCACACCTATGGCTTCCAACGCTCGCCCCAAGCGACTGTTTTCCTACTTGGCACTCTGCGTGCGCCAAAACCCCCTCATGGGCTTTTGAGCGGGAACGGCCCATGGTAGACATCGGTTGATGTCATGTTACCCCTTGGCAGACATGGTCAAAACTGGGACAAGACTCACGGCTGGTTGACCCCTGCTGGAAGGTGATTACAGATTTGAGAATTCACACTCCCAAAATTTCTTTATTAAAGATTTAATTTATTCAAAACTAATGTTGTTACCATAAACAAGATTGGCATCATGTGGCATGCATCCCTGAGGAGGGTTGAGGCATTGTGGCTTCGGTGAGCCAGTGCTTTTGGGCCTTTCGGTCAGCTCTTTGTTTGAGGATTTCGTCTACATCGTGGAGACAACACTGTCGGTGTTTGAGGAATTCTCGCAGTCTAAAACTGTCCATGTGTTTTGTCAAAGCATCGGCAAGTTGTGCAGCACTGTGTACCCAATGTGGATGGATACCAGTATTGAGGTTACTTTTAATGACAAGTGCTTCAATGAGAGTTCGGTGTTCTTGACATTGAGGGGTAGTGTTCTTGGTGATGACATCATACAGTGATTTACAGTCAACAACGGCAATACCAGGATGTGATGATTTCCAAACTTCTTCGGGTCGTTGCCATGGAGTCAAAGGATTCCGAATCCATTCCCAAGCTAAGCGGATCCAGTTCAAAGCATCTACCGTATGAGACAGTGCAAACGTCTCTGACGCCAGTGTGCTTGCCACAACACGATCTATTTTCTTTGAGGACCAGGATAAGGGACTGGCAGTAGCTACTTTTTGATGGAATATTTTCTCATGGGCTGCTAGGATCAAGGTTCCCTTCTGACTTTGCTGTTTTTCTCGGGTGGCAAAAGAAGCATCAGAGTATGCTACCATTCGAATTTGTTCTTCTGGAATACTGGAAATGGTAATTTTGACATCACTGTGTTTCTTAGCATCTCCCAGCAGGCGATTGGCATCAAGAAGATCAGCTACTTTCGCACAGTTAATCTTGGATTGAAGTAGGCTTAGTCTTGCGGCAATGTCTGGTCGTGTATTGGTAGCAGCATACTGTAGGGACCCAATTAAACCTCGGAGACCTTGACGTTCACCTTCACTGACTGGTTCCTGTTCACCCTTTCGACGGTTTCTCTCAATTTTGATGGGATCTATATTTTGTACATAGGCCATTTGATCCAGGTGGATGTTATGTTCCTCATCTTGCAGTACATGAATACCAGTGAACGTGAAATCCCCTTCTCTCTTGGAACCAAAAGGGAAACGCTTTTCAAGATGGTTCAGAACAGTCATGAACTCACTGTCGCCGCAGCACAATCCATCATCAACATGCATTCCAATGGCTCCGTGTACATGTCCATTTTGGTCAGCTAAAACAAAAAGACACGGATCTAATGGACTGATGGTAAAACCAAGTTGCAGCAAAGCTTCACGAAGTTCTTGATACCATAGATACGGTGCATTCACCAGGCCATATGCTGACTTGAGAAGTTCACAAATTTCATTCTCTTTGAGCTTGAGTTTCGTTCTAAGTTCGCTTGGGGGTTCTAGGCCTAACTGACGGTTATCTCTCCGGGAACCTCGAAGAAACGCAGTCTTGATGTCAAAGCTTTGAATTTGCCACTTTCGGGATGCACATAGTTGCAACAGCAAGGATCGGGATTCTTTTTGCAGAGTAGGTGAGTCTCTTGGAATTGATGTGATATCTGGATCCTCATATCCCAAAATGACAAGTCTAGCTTTGGCTTTTCTTGTACATCCTTCTGCTGCGCTGGCAATTGGATCTAACTCTTTCCATGTAAGAACCCATCTGGCACGAAGAATGTTTCTTTCTGGTATCTGATTTCGAAAAACTTTCTTGACAGTCTCGGTTGCTAACCATTGGTCGATTTCTTTCTCTTTTGCTTTCTGGAATTGTTTCACTTCTTCGGGGTTCAAGTCTTTGACCTTCACCTCTGCTCGCTGTCGTTTGGCTGCAGACGCTATCAGGACTGGCAAATTGTCAGGTTCGCGAACGGTCGCATCGATATCTTCTTGGGTAAAGAATATTTCACATTCGAAACCCTGGTGACTTTCCACATGTAAGACATCCTCAGTATTTTGCATCTTGGAATCAGTCTCTTTGATGTCTATGATGGAAAATATGGTGACACCTGTCCAGGGTTGCGAAACATGCCACTGACTGTCGTTTTCTCCCCAAGTATCCTGATGGAACCATAGATCTTGATCGATTGCATTGCCGGTCGAGAATCGTTCGCCACTGACACAGAGAATGTCCACAGGACAGTCACAACATAGGCTAGGATCAAAGGCATCATATCGAGGTTTTTGGTGTACACGAATGAGCTTATCCTTCTGGACTAGCCAATAGTCTACAGCTACTAATTCGTCATCATCATCAGTTGGGACAGGAACATCCTTTGGATCAGTTACTTCTTCATTGTGAAGGTTATCTGTGGGTGCATGGCTTAGTGGGGTTGTGGGTGTATATGCATTGGAGGGTGATCTCGGAATATGTTCACCTGGCAAATCACTTGGTTCGGAGTCTGGTTGTTCAGGCATGTGTGTGTCAGGCATTGGAGGAGTATTGGAGTTCGGCATGATGATGGTTTCATGTTCTACCGATGGAGGTGGATTTTGATGGATGTTGTCTGTAAGATCTTCATACTGGAACACGCCTTTCCCACTGGTGGTCTGGGGATTCTCGTCTGAGCTTGGCTGTACAGAGATTTGATTCTGTATAGCTTCTCTTTCGGAAAGACAACGCACATGTTCAGGTGCCACGCGATATACACGGCTGGAGTGAGAAATCCATACAACATGTTGCGATTCTTGTATGATGACTTTGGCGGGCCCATGCCACTGACCTACCTGTTCTCCACGACCAGGTCTCCAAAACATCACAAACATTCCACCCGTGTAAAAACCTCTGGCGGGGCGTTGTCTTCGGAGGAAGGCTCGCCGCAAACGCTCGGAGTTGTCAGCTTCCACAAAAGCCTTGCGAGCACACTCACGTTTCAAAAGTTGCTGTCGGAACTGAATGCCTTCAGGTGTGTCACTGTCAGCTAAAAATTGGGAAGCAGTGGGAGCATCTTCACATACACTTCCCGGGAGTGGTCGGCTTTTACCAAGGACTAAGATTTCTGGTGTGTATCCTTTTACCCTTGACAGTGAATTTTTGGCTTGACAGCATTGGCGGATGGCTTGCTGAAAGTCTTCTGCAGTCTCAATGCTCTGATCATGATCAAATTTTCTCAGCATTTGCTGGATGATTTCACCATGTCTTTCAGTTTTACCCATCTGCCAATGAGCATAAGCAGCAACGACACGAAGGTGTGTGTCTTGGCTTTGCATGAATTGTGCAAATTGCTCTGAGCATAGCGCGGATGCATTGTCAATGACAAGTTGTTTACATGGTCCAGCCCATTGGGTCCACGTGTTTTGATAAGCCTCGAATAGACTCTCAGCATCGGTCCTAAACACCGGCATTGCAAGCTGAAAGTTAGTTGCACTATCAACCACATGAATGAACTGGTAGTTTTTCCCGGATTTAGAGGTCCATGTTATCAGGTCACATCCCACACAGTCATTAAACTCCCGCACATCGGTCAAAGTTGCAGGTCTGGCAATTCTTGGACCCTGGGTTTCATGGCAAGTATTACAGCGAAAGTCCATGATTCCTTGAATCAATTGATCTGCATAACCCTGTTGCCTGAGTACATTTTGCAACTTCTGAGCACTCGGATGTCCTAGGTTGTGGTGCACCTTGGAAATCCAACTTTGCTGTTCTTTGGGAAGCGCTCGAAACTTTGGACCATGGGACAACTATTGAGCTTTGTCTTCAGGAATGGGTTCCAGTTCACAATTTTCATTCGATTCAGCTTTGATTCTCGATATCTCAGGCTTACCAACTTCTTGGGATTCCAAAGGGGGTCTCTCTGGGAATTTCTGGACTCATGCTTTCAACCCTTTGCTTCATTGATACTTTCGCCTCACTTGGGTTCGACATGACCTGTTGAGCAAACACGGAGACTAATAGTCTTAAGGGTGGTGACTTGCTACAAAGTTGCCTATTGCTGAGATCCTGCCATTGCATCCATGGACCCAAATCTACCGGCTCAAGCTGGTGCCTGTGCAAACCTAAAGACAGTCTCCACGGTGCTTCCTGAGGGATCAGTCGAACAGGAGGTCTTCGCAGACGATCAGTCCCCTTACACAACTCAACAACTCGGATGCGATATTCAGGAAACAGCATTTGAAGTTCTTCAAGCAGTTCTCCACGTTCTAGAATCACTTTTCCAACTCGAGGGGCAATCTTCAAAGCTTTCATTAGGATCTCCTGTTGCAATTCGGCTGGGGAACGGATCGGAGGCATCACCTGTCCCGCAGGGCACGCATCAGGATTCTTTGGGACGGCAGCTTCCGGATATCCAGCCGGATTGGTCGTTTTGGCATTCAACCGACGACGTTTGACATCGGATTCAACATCTTCAGGCCTGCTTCTTTCAGCATGATGACTGTGGAACATGAGCAGTGGGCATCCCAAGGCTTTCTCGTTAGTCATATGGCTGGCTTTCATGGCTTTGGCCAGATGTCTACCAAAAGTCTTTGTGTACAGTTCGGTGAATTCGGACGTGAGGCATCGTTGACCATTGTTTTGGACAAAACTGCCGGCTACGTGGTCATGTTCATGATTCCTGGGACATCTAAGCTGTTCCAAACTCCGGGACATGATCAGGGACGAAGAAAAAATCTGTGTCCCCTTTTGAAGGTATTTTCCACTTGCTGGGTGCTTGAGATTCCCTGCATGGCAAAGATCACACCTACTGCGATTCAAACATTCTACGATGGATTGCATAGGAGCTTCATACAGCATGTCTGATCCTACCGGCTGTTCCAAGTGAAAGTGAAAGGCAGGCCCCATCTGATGTTGGTGCAGGAACATGGCTTCACACAGCTGAAGATGAACTTCGTCACCTTCCCTGGCCAGCATGACTTTCTGTGCTGCAGCTGTGGACTTTGAGGCATTGAATTGGTTCCATTTGCACCACGCTTTGCATCGGGGAGAGGCCCAGATATTTCGGGGTCGATAGCGGAAAATCACATGATACAATTTCTGACGACCCTCCCATGTTCCCAGATCCCCATCCTTAAGGGTAAATCGCATTGCACGAAGACCTTGTTGGCGACATTGTTGGGTGAGTTGACTCTCGTCAGAACAATATACTTCCAAGCAATCAATCAACGGATATTGGCTCATTAGGATCTTTCCATTTGCATCAAGAAATCCATGGTGTTTACCAAATAGTAAGATTTCATCAAACACTTCATTTCTATAGTCTTTGTGGTGGGATTCATGATCATGAAGATATGTGGGATCAGTCTTTAAACTGGCATGTTGAATCTCTTCTAAACATCGCTGCAGCATCAAAGTAGTGGCGTGATCGGCTATGCAAGGCTGGAATTCTGCGTCACTTGTGTCAGTACTTGGAGTTGGTTCATGATCTGAGAGAGTGCATCCTCGATCACATCCAGACGCTGAGAGTTCTGGTTCTCGACGATCAAGCCCTGTGCACTGATCTGATCCCATGACTCTTCCTCGGGATCGAAATCGATCATCGATGGGCCATTGGATTGGCTCCCATGGGCCATGCCAGCCTTGATTTTGGTGGGCGGCTTGGCCTTGGACTTTGGTACTGCTTGGTCCAGCACATTTAGCTCGATCTCCTTTCTCTCCACATAGAGGTTGAGATAGTGCAGGAACTCGCGATGCTCTGGCTTGCTCGATTCCGCAAACTTTCGGATGAACCATTGACAGTATTTTTGATCCTCCTTGACAACTTCGCTGAACTGTTGGCCCAACTTGCTCTCCCCAAAACGGATGGTGAGCTGGCCCACTTCCTCGAAACTCATCGACATCAGGCGATCTTCCTGGATATGCTTGTTCTGCGTCACCTGAATCATCTGGAATCGGTCGGCAAGGGACTGATTCGCCATGAGTTTCTTCGTTGGCGGGTTGGGCACGAGCAGGGCAGGACTGTGGAACACTGGCCAAATTGCTGGTCATGTGACATGTCTCATGTTTCTGGATTTCAGTGGCTGCTTCCGTGTGACACATCTCATGAGTCTCAATGGCATGTTCCGGCTGCCAACTTTGCCCCTGTGAATCTTGGTCTTCCAGACATGAAAAAATGCGGTCTTCAGCCACCACTGATTTTTCAGGCATCATTTGTGTCTGAGGCGGTCTCTGTGCGGCAAGATCACAAAAGTCCAACAGGAAGAGCTTTCTTCCCGACAGCTGTAGAGGCAGTTCACAGTTTAACCTCTGGAATCGGATGCTTTGATTGTTGGTGTCGATGATGGCTCCTAAACTTCGACAAACATTATTCGAAATCAAGAATGGAGTTCGAGACTCAACAATTGCAATCTTAATCCAGAACTTGTCAATTGGAACAAAAATGGCTCGGTTGCAGGGAACTACGCTGTTGTTTCCAAAACGAAAAGACATCTCTACAGGCTGTTCAAACACCTTGCTGCGGACAGGTTCCGGCAGGCCACGCAAAAATTCATCAAGCTGATGTCGGCCCATCACTGTCTGAGAAGCACCTAAATCCAAGATTCCTAAGGTCTTTGCAGTGGCAAACATGGTTTCACACGGCTGAGCATACATGCTGCTGGTCACATCTTTGGGGCTCACATCAGGCTTAGGCAATGGATCAGCATGATCCGGTCTAGGCAAAGCACTTCGGCTCTGACAATCACGGATATCTGCTTTTTCAGAGGGGGTTTCGCACGGCTTCAGTGGTTCACTTGGCGTCATCCTGGATGGATGTGCATTGGCAGAGCCCTTGAAAAGTTTTTCCAGCCTCTGGCAGACTTGCTTATAGAATTGCCCTTTATATGGTAACTTACCCTTATGGGACCAACTAACAAAACAGTTTTGGGAGTGTGAAACCCTTTTGATCACCCCGGGGTCCTGGCTTACGACAAAGACATCAGACAAGACAGATCCGGTCGGCTCCATCAGAAAACCATCTTCATCCTCATCATCCAGACCACTGGCAGAGATCAGCATGTTGGTTGGCTGGGGCTTCGACGATCCGACGGCTGATTGATTGGAAAACCGCTTCGGGCATTCGGCTTTCCAATGTCCCTTTTGTCCGCAGTTTCTACACTCACTTTCAGCGATCCGAACAGCAAGTGGCTTTCGGGACCGAAAATTTGACATTTTGAACTTTCCTTTCTTTCCAACACCTTTGGAACGGATCGGCCAGAAACCTCTGTTCTTGGACTTCTCTGTCAATTTCCGGCGGGCATCCAGGTAAGTTCCCATGAGTGCAGTCATCTCCGGATCATTTTGCATTGTATCAATCAAGGCTTCTTCAAATTGATGAGCCACCATTGCATCTTCATCACCTTCGGCTAGCAGTAATTCCAGCACTGAATCTGGAACATCCGATGTCTCCGCCGAGAAGACATAGTTGGAATCATCATGATAGAAGTTCTCCTCCTCCATTTCTTGCACATGATTGACCTCATATGTTTTGCCTCGGAATGACTTGGTCTGTCCTTGCACGTCTAGAAAGAACTTTGCGCCAAGCATGCGGATAGCTTGAGTTACGGATTCATATTTCAGATTGCCCTTGGCTTCAATCACCACGCGTTTCTTGTCCTCGGCTGAGAGTGCACTGTTCCTGAGTAGGATATATGCACGAACATCAGAGAGGCTCGCACCTTGTGAAATCATGTCTTCAAAAACAATCTCATGTCTGGCCATGTAACTCTCATTGCTTTCATCCGAACGTTGACTGAGGCCATAAATGGCACGTTCAAACTTCTCATACTTGTCTTCGAGGGTAGTTTTGCCCCAAACTCCCCCAAGTGTCGATACCAGCAACTGAACACCCGAGAGCTCATTGACCTTGAGCTTGTCAGGTTGGATTCTGACAACCTTCTGGAAGGCTGACCCCTTGCACTGCAGTGCTGCTCTGGGTGCTAATTGGTTGAGATGTTCTACAGGCCAAATTCCTGCAAGAAACTCCAGTCTTCGCGTGTACTCTGTCAAATCTGTCTCACCAGGTTCAAACGATGGTATGAGGTGCCAAGGAAGGTGTGATGCCGTGCTAGGTCCTGTTGATGACTGTGACGACACACCTTGACCCTCATTTTCCGCCATGTTGGACACCGCAGGAGGCACAGACAAGTGACAAAATTTCCTCTGGATCAACTCCTTTCCAGGGCTACTTCACCAGTCAGGGTGCAGTCAAAATGACGTGGCACCGGAAAAGGGAAAATTGGTTCCCCAAGGTTTGCTTTTCCAGAAACTGTCAACCACCGGATTGTATCGTGTTTCCTGGGAGCACCTGAGGAGCACACTGCTCCGCTACCAATGTGGATTGGGCGTCCAACAAAGGTAGGGATCTGCAACAGTTGAAGAAGGATTGGCTGTCCACGCCAATGAACCACCAATAGTTACTGAAGGACCACCTGAAGTTACCAAATGCCACACCTATGGCTTCCAACGCTCGCCCCAAGCGACTGTTTTCCTACCTGGCACTCTGCGTGCGCCAAAACCCCCTCATGGGCTTTTGAGCGGGAACGGCCCATGGTAGACATCGGTTGATGTCATGTTACCCCTTGGCAGACATGGTCAAAACTGGGACAAGACTCACGGCTGGTTGACCCCTGCTGGAAGGTGATTACAGATTTGAGAATTCACAGTACATATATACATATATACATATATACATATATACATATATACATATATACATATATACATATATATATACATATATACATATATACATATATACATATACACATATATACATATACATATATGCATATATGCATATATACATATATACATATTTACATATATATATGTACATATATACATATTTACATATATACATATATACATATTTACATATATACATAAATACATATATACATATATACATATTTACATCTATTTACATAAATACTCATATGTACATATATACATATATATATACACATACATATGTATATATATATACATACATATATATACACATATACTATATACTATATACTATATACTATATATACATATACATGTACACACATATACTATATACTATATACTATATATATATACCCATATACTATATACTATATATATATGTATATATACATATATACATATATACATATATGCATATATACATATAGACATATACATATATACATATTTACATATATACATATATACATATACATATATACATATATACATATATACATATATACATATATACATAAATACATATATACATATATACATAAATACATATATACATATATACATATATACATATATATATATACATATATATACATATATATATACATATACATATACACATATATACATATATACATGATTCACAGTGGAGAGGAGGGGAACAATGACTACCTATACTACCTACAGGACCACATCCACAGGGGGAGGGCGGGGGGGGGAGACTACCTACAGGACCCATGGGGGGGGAGGGGGGGTGGTCCCCGAACCTGGAACATATATATATATACATATATATACATACATATATATATACATCATATATTGAATACATTCTTTTTTAAACATATATCTAATTATCTAATATTATTATATATTCAAAAGTCGAAAGAAAATTGCTGGCCGCTTTTCAAGCTTGGACCACGCAGTCCCATGAGCCGCCTCTTTGCTATGGCAGGGTCTAGTGACCGAACCCTGCGACCGAACCCTGGAATCATGGTTAATCAAGGGAATAACTATAATTTGCATATATATATATATAAAAAAAGAATGGCCTAACTATAATATACAAAAACCTGATAATAACCTGAATACATAACTATAATAACTATGTTGGAATCATCCCAAAATGGCCTAACATTTCAGGTTTGTGAATTACTATAATTTGCATATATACACATATATATATAGATACAGATTACGTACTCATATATATATATAGAGTTATATCCGGTCTTGGGATGTTTGGGGGTTCTATGGTTTCGACCAACTGTCAACACCTACGCCTGTTTTTGCAGTCTGGAGCTCAATTCCAAAGAATGGTACGTTTCATAGGCTGGATATGTTGTTTCTGTGGAGTATTGTCTTCATGCATCCACTGCATCCACTGATTCTGGTATTTAACACACTTTATCACCGTTTGTAGATGCTCCAAACGAAGCCACGGAGATTTCCCAACCAGACCATGGTCCCACTGCTGGGCAAAGCATTTTTTCAGTCATCTCAGTAAAGTCATCTAGCCACCTAAACCATCCATTTGAAAAGCTGGTTGGTGGTGACTGGAACATGAATTTTATGACTTTCCATATATTGGGAATGTCATCATCCCAACTGATTCATATTTTTCGGAGGGGTAGGTATACCAACCACCAACCAGTATATGTATATATATTTATTATATATATATAAAATCCATCTATGGGGGGTTCTTAAGTCATGGGGGATCCCCGTGGCACCATCGGTTCCAAAGTCAGCAGGATTGCCAGGACGGCGTGTTGCAGATGGGATTGGACTCCTTAGACTTGGTGCCTCGGTTCTATGTTGAGCCGAAAAATCGATGGCAATGTTGGGGAAAAACCATGGAAAAACCATGGGAAAACACCTGGAAAACATGAGGTGTTCAATCATCCGATCTGTTTTTTTCCCTGAATGTTCGGAAACAAATTGGTCAAACACCTGGAATCCATGGGTTTTCAGACCCAAATAGCTGGCAGTTCTGAATGTTCATCCCCAAACGAAAAGTACAGAAACTTTTGATCCATCCTCAAGTCAAACATGAGGGTGTAGCCAACATCGGCATGGGCCTATGATGGGGATATGACCTCCCAAATCCTTTGATCACTGGAGACTTTCCAAAAAAAATATGGTCCTTTGATCACTGGGGATGGGTCAAGTTACCTTTATTTCAATTGCCATATGACTGGGGATACTGGGGGAATCAACATCCAGCTATACCAGCTATTTTAGGTACCTAAGGCACCAGGGTTTTGACTCATAACCATATAAGATCATATGAGCCATGGTCAATACTCACTATATGGTTGATGGTCATCCCATCCATAATAAGGATCCTTATAATGGTTATTATAAATCCCTATGAACCATTGGATGACTAGCCCCTATTAATGGTTATTAACCATGAGTATTGACCATAGCTCATATAACTACAACTCATTAATCACGAGGATCTCACGGCACAATGGCTGGCAACCCATCATGCTTACTCCGATCAAATTATCTCCTTGGATGGTTCAACCTCGGGCACGGCGAGGGCACGGAACTTTGGACCCCACCTTGCGATAGGATTGGAGTTTCAGGATGTTTCAGGGTACTGTAAAGAAAGTTGGATCAATCAGCTGGAAATGGGTTTGTCTGAAAATTTCAAGACAAAATGCTAAATGTCAGTGAGGGTTCAAAACTTCATGTTCCCAACGAAATGGCAATTTTTGGGATGTTATGACGTTGTTGGCATATCAAGTTCTATCCCCACTACATACCCATTGTTTCATCATATTTTTGGTCGTGAAATCGTTCAAGTTCAATCTCCCATTTTTTGCGGGTAAATCCGATCCTCCATTTTAGGGCCCCCCATATAATTTAGTAGCAGCGTATATTTATCCATTGTATTGTATCATATTGTTATATTGTATCATATATCATAGGACAAATCTATCTATCTATCTATCTATCTGTCTATCTATCTATCCATCTATCTATCTATCTATCTAATATAATATAATATAATATAACATAATATAACGTTATATAATATAATCTAATGATATATATATATACATAAATTATTTCAGTATATTTCCATGTAGCCTAGCTAATATAAAATCCACCATTCCCACCATTTTGATGGCTCAGATTCCAAGAACCAAAAACGCGGCCCAGGCGCGGCTGCAGGCGGCCGTGCGACGGCACTATTCCGTTGACCTGACCTTAGAGGACCAGAGAGTGCAGAGGGTTTTTTTTGGGGAATTAATGGTGGATTAATGGTGATTATCCCAAACTTCACCTGAGATTATCCCAAAGGTTTATCTTTTCCCCCAAATTCAGAGGAACTGAGAAATTATCTATTTTTTTGGGGGGATTCATGGTGATGGCATTTTCGGGAAAAATGGAGATGGAATGGGATAATATAGAATGATAATTGCTAGAATATGGGATAATATGGAATATTCGGACATATAACCAACAATATTTGGGTGTGTCTGAAAGTGGGTAGTTGCAAATAACAATTTTAGTAGGGAAAACATTGGAACATGATGATTCATCAGTGGATTTTGGGGACAGACTTATTTATCAACAGCTATCAAATGGGGGGTTGAACCGAAAAAACAATGGGATTTATTCAATGTGTTCATCAAAAATACAACCAACTGGCCATTCCATGTCATTCACTCCAATTTCAACGTTGCCGATTGGCTCATGTGCCCAATGACTAGGAAGGGAAGTTTCAGATCGACAGGACATGGAGCTGTAAAACTTGGTGTTAAGGCCCAAGGTATCCCAAGGTATCCCAAGGTATAGAAACCTGCCGCATCTTAGCAATCCAATGGAAACGGTGTTTGGCAAGAGACATCAAGTCATACCTTTTCCACACGACGTGACGCGGAACAATTCCGTGGTCGCCGTGCTGCCATGGCGCCCTTTTTGTCACGCACGACCAGTCGTGCACGTCGAGGGATGACTCTGCTGGTGCTGTCAACGCCATTCATCATGGGCCTAAGTTCAAGGTGCCTGGTTTGGTGGGAACTGGGGCTGCCTTCTCTGGGGCAGACTGGCAGACTTCGCAAACTCCGCTGTTTCGAGCACGTTAAAATGGTTGGGCTATATTGATCGAGCTATATTGAACTCTTGAACAACATGCGACTGTAGTGACAAAGAAAGCTATCTGTTGAAGGGGTCCTTTACCACCCGGACACACACATACACACACACGGACGCAGGTGGCAAGCTTTGAGCGATTCAGCACCAGCGATTGAGAGAGAGAGAAAAACAGCAACCAAAACAGCACCTGCGAAATTGGAGAGTTTCTCAAAGTGTCTGATATAATTCGATAGAACATGATTGAAAAATCCTAATTTGCCTCCGTTCATCTACCAGATCTATCTTCATGATGTGATATGCTGAAGAAATCACCCAGACAATCATCCAGACAATCACCAACAACCAGCATTTTCCACACAAACCCCCCAAATTCACAACACCATCTTCAAAGTTCTTCATCTAATTTCTTTCCTCCACTTGGCCATGTGATATCCCCCTATCATGGTTGGTCTAATTGACATGTTTTGGGCATGGTGAATTTCCACATTTCATCACTATAATATCCCCCATGCTTGGTTTGTCATTTTTGTATGACTAGATTTCTTTTATTTGATTTTTGAAAAAACCATACACAGTTTCGTTTCACTACTGGTTGGTGGTTTCAAACATTTTTTGTTTTCCACAACATATGGGATGTTCATCCTTCCCATTGACTTTCACTCATATTTTTCAAGATGGTTATTGCACCACCAACCCGCTTGGTTATCATAATTATTAACCATTATTAACCATTGGTTTTTAGCACTGATTAACCACTATTAACAATGGTTATGACTATATAGATTTCATGATCCTGAACGAGTCTGGCAGAGCGCGGCAGAGCGCCGCAGGGCCATGGCAAAGGTGGCCAACCTTCAAGCCATGGAGAAACCCATGGAGCTCCATCGCTTCATGGGATCCTGGTCGCTCGCTGGCTTTGGGAAGATTTTTTTCCCAAGATGTTCCACCGAATGGCCTAAAAACCGTGCCATAAAATGCGGAAATGCCTGGAAAATGATGTTTCCTGGTTTTTTTGATAGATGAAAATTGTGGTTTTGGTGGGAGGGATCCAAAGATTTCTCCTGCTAGTTGAATTATGTTGAATGAAGCACCGAGACTTTGGTTCATGTGAAGTGGCAGGATCGAAGTTTTGGGCAGCAGTTGATCAATGGGAATTTCAGGATCCTAAAATGGAGGTACTGTACCATAGAAGGCCATATTTTGTGGGGATATCCATATAGGCCTTATATATGGTAGGTACCTCCAATCATTTGGTTCCTGCCATTGAACCATCCTTTTGGCGCAGCGCTCAGGTACGTCTTGGCGCACATCCCAGTGAAGTTGGTGAAGGTAAGGGTGGAGACCCATGACGGGGTGAGGATTTAAGGAACCCACCAAGAAAGATAGAGCTTAGTAAATCATCACCACTTTAGTGGGATTTAGCCAAATTCTATGTTTTTTGGGGGGGTACTATACAGCATCTCTAACGTCGCCCAGTTTTTTTTTTGCCGGGTCGGTTCTACGTACAGGAGCACCTCGCGCACAACGCGGTGGAGACATATTCCTGGGATGAAGCAAAGCAGCGCATTGATGTGCATTACAGGCCTGATGGGCTGGTGCTGGCTGCCGGATCATTACCGGTTGACCTCACAGCTGTGAAGGATGGTTCATGCTTCATCTTCAAATAATTTCAAATAATTTCAAATTCATATACTTCAACCAATTGTTTAAAAAAATTGTTTACACAGCTTTCCGATTGACCAAAAATTGCTCAGAATTCTCCAGACTCGTTCGCTGTGGGGTCCTTAGAGCTGAATGTTTTTTGGACAGACTCAGCCTTCAGAGATCACGGGATGTTTCCACACATCACTGGTTTGAGGCTTCAAATTGTGTATATACATAACATGTTATATACCATATAGTATGAATACACAAAAATATAATACTACATTATACTGTATATATCAATATATATTATATATACACATATGATCATAATTATATATATATATTTATATGCACCCGATTTGATGCATATCCCAAGTGACCAAAGAGGATGCTGCTCCGTCCAGGTTCAACGAGGATGCTCACGATGGACCTTTGAACGACAGCTATCAGCGTGGATGGGTGCAGAACAAGGCGTGGCGTAGGTGGGGATCGGGGTTTTGGTACCTGAAACTTGGGAATTTATATAGGGATTCATAGGGATTTATAGGGAATTATGTTTAAACTAGTGAGGATTCATTAAAAAAAATTACTGGGTACCTTAGGTCGGAATCTTTTTTTAATGAGGATTCATGTGGATAGAATCATGATTTATAGGGATTTATGCTAATTTTAATATAGTGGGGGTATCATCCTTTCCCCCTAATATGACACACAGAAACCAGAAACCATCGTGTAATAGGGGATTTTCAGATATTTGGGAGTGGGATAGTATGGGATACTGCGGGATAATAGGGTACTCTATATAACCAAGACTACGATAAAGAGCTGGTTATGCATCTCTGGGGTTGCTATAGTTCTTTTTTGCCGTGTATTTCCAACAAATTAGCCCAAAAAAACAATTGGGGAAAAGGAAGATTGGGGGAGCTCCCCAACCCGCAGTGAGCTTGTCCCAGGACACCAGCGCAGAGTGGCGAGTGTCTCCAAAGTTGCCTCTCTTCGGCTATGCTTTGAGCGGAGCCTCCTGACAAAATGGGTGACCAGTGCTGGCTTTTATCTGTACCATGAGTATAGAATGGAACTTGGAATAATTATATAATGAAGGATATGTTCAATTATTGATTCACTTTGAATTCGATTCTTGTGATTCAAGTCTTGATGTTCCCTTTTTTTATTTTTGCTTGGGGTGATTCGCTTACTGTCAAATGATGCTTCCCTGGGACGAAAATTTGCCACGGCTCAGTGCTGATTTACCATCCTCTTGGGAAAATGCTGTTGGAGACTGATGGGACTATCATGGTTCTTTTCATTTCTTTTCACCATAAAAACACATATATAACTGGTTGGTGGTTTGGAACATTTTTTACTTTCCATAATATATGGGATAATCCTTCCCATTGACTAATATTTTTCAAGATGGTTAAAACACCAACCAGTATATAATTATATAAACATTCATGGATTTGTAATCACCCAGCTGTTCGAAGGTCCTGCGGTTGCCCTACATCATCGTGGATCGCTCGGAGGATTATAGCACGGCCTCGTGGACGCAGAGCCCTTTTCACGAGGGGATTGGTGTAACTGTCACTGGCGTAGATTCCTTATCCCAGTTGTATATACCCGAGTTTTGCTCGGGTACTAGTTGTGAGGGGATCCAATCATATCCAATCCAATTCCCCAGCATTCACATGAATTTCAGGCACATATTTGTATGTGCCATCAAGTGAAATGGATCATTTCCCCATGACCATTGTTCCTGCAGTAGAGGCCTTTTCCAACAACCCCCAATAAAGAATCCCAACTGATCGTGGACATTCTAGGTTAATGCATCTAAATACTGGAATACTTGACGATATTATATGAAAGTATTCACTAGATATACTTATATATACATATTAACTATATTACTTAACTAGATATGATATCCTGGAATACTTATAAATACTAGATATGAAATATTTCTTAGGATATCAATCTACATCTCTACTTTCTTAGACTTGCACCAGCTCCGGAAGATTTCATCCCCAGCTGTCATCCCATTTTTATCCCATGGCAGCGGTGCCATTAGGCGATCATCGGCTATCCCAACCGCGCATATCTGTGGGTCCTGAGTCGCAGACCTGAAGTCTCCAGCAAGGAGAGGTTTCATGGGGTTTCCTAGCCCCAATAGCTGGACGACTGGTTGGTGGTGACTGGAACCATGTAATTTTGCGTTTCCATTAATCTTGGGAATGTCATAATCCCAACTGACAAACTCCATCATTTTTCAGAGGGGTTGAAACCATCAACCAGATGATTTTATAAGGGAACATCCTATGAAAAAATGGATGATTTAGGGGTAGCCCCCATTTTAGGAAACCTCGAAATATATCGTAAATTGCAAGTACATAGTTCGAATTCGTTGATTCATATGGATACAAGATCTATCAAGATCACACATTTTTTTCCCAGTATGTTTTGACCCTGTACCAGATTTTCAGAGTGATTCAGGGCAGATTCACCGTGTTTGTCTGTAAACTCTTGCAGTATTTCCTATCATCGCGGATGCAGCGATCAGTTGGGTTCTTTGTTCACATGTGAATTTGGGTTCAGGAATACGAGAAGTTGATCGACAAGTGCAAAAGCTTCGGGTACGATGAGTCGATGCTGGGCTGCTTTTATGGATGGTGAGTGGTTCTTCCAGTGCTATTTTCTCGTCTCGGATCATTCTGAGGGGCTTTGAAGAACACTGAGTCGGAGTGGTCCAAGTGTCGTAATGGGCTGTTCTATTTAAAAGCCCCGGCTATTCCGCCGGCCTCTGGCGATGTAAAGGCCTCTTGGTGTAAACGCAGTTTGTGTAAAAGCTGGTTGGCGCAAAAGCTGGTTGGTGTAAAAGTTAGTTAGTTTAAAAACTATGTTGTGTCAAAAAAAGGGTTGTGTAAAAGCTAGTCTGTGCAATTTTTTTTCAAAAGCTGGTTAGTGTAAAAGCTAGTTTGTGTAACAGCTAGTTTGTGTAGAAGGTAGCTGGTGTAAAAGCTCGTTGGTGTGAAACTAGGTTGTGCAAAGGCTAGCTGATGTAAAGTTAGTGTGGAAAAAATTGTAAAAAAGCGGGTTTGTTCAACAGCTAGCTTGTATACAAGGTATAGTTGCTGCAAGAAAATAGCTTGTGTAAAAACTAGTTTGTGTAAAAGCTGGCTTGCGTAACAGCTAGCTTGTCCTAAAGCCAGTTTGCACAAAAGCTGGTCAGTGAAAGACACATGATTGCGTGTTTGCAAAAAAACTATGTGTTGTAGCTCACTCTTTCCTTGAGCACGCAGTAAATTTGAGAAGACGTCGAAGAAATGCACATCTCAGGGGCAGAACGAAAGGCAAGACGGAGATGAGACAAAGCTGAAGAAGGAAGAGGAGTAAGCAGAGGAGAGGAAGAAGATGAAGGATGATGATGAAGATGACGGATGGAGGGAGGGTGAGGGCCGCCAAAGCAAATATCCATCAAGGAGATCTCAGGCATAGGTATAGTTAGAACTAGAATTCAATCTAAAGCTAGAACAAGATCAAGCTATAGCTAACACTGGAACTAGAAATCAATCTGAAGCTAAAACAAGGTCAAATTATTGCTGTAGCTAGGACTAGAATACGATCTAAAGCTAGAATAGGATCACGCTATAGCTATATATAGCTGGAACTAGATCTCGAACTCAAACTAGAACAAAATCAAGCTATAGCAGCTAATGCTGGAACTAGAATTCAAGTTCACACTAAAACAAGCTAAAGGTAAGGATCTATAGAAGCTGCCGAAGAAGAACCTGACCTTCTATAGACATGTAATGACATGTATATATATATATAATATAATACCAGTAGTACCGCACAAGGCGGTGGCGGAAGTTTCAGAATAGGAAACCTATAGGAGACGTTGGTTGTTGTGAATCACGGATGGCAGAGCGAATCCACTGATTGACCGAAAAGTGGTTGGAGTTGTGTTTGCTGGAGTGGTTGCAATGGTTGCAGTGGTCACCTCACCCACAACTGCTGGATGTAGTGTAATGTACTGCAACTGTAGTTGTAGTTGTAGCGTAGTGGAGTTGTAGTTGTGGTGTAATGTAATTAGTGTAGTGTAGTTGCAGTCATATAGTTGTAGCTGTAGTTGTTTTGTAGTTGTAGTTGCAGTTGTTGTAGTTGTAGTTGTTGTAGTTGTAGTTGTTGTGTGGTTGTAGTTGTTGTGTAGTGTAGTAGTAGTAGTAGTAGTAGTAGTAGTAGTAGTAGTAGTAGTAGTAGTAGTAGTAGTAGTAGTAGTAGTAGTAGTACTAGTAGTAGTTGTAGTTGTAGTTGTTGTAGTTGTAGTCGTTGTTGTTGTTGCTGTTGTTGTAGTAGTTGTTGTTGTTGTTGCTGTTGTTGTTGTTGTAGCTGTAGTTGTTGTAGTTGTAGTTCTAGTTGTAGTTGTTGTGTAGTTGTAGTTGTAGTTGTAGTTGTAGTTGTAGTTGTTGCTGTTGTTGTTGTTGCTGTTGTTGTTGTTGTAGTAGTTGTTGTAGTTGTAGTTCTAGTTGTAGTTGTAGTTGTTGTGTAGTTGTAGTTGTAGTTGTTGTAGTTGTAGTTGTTGTGGTTGGTGTTGTTGTTGTTGTTGTTGCTGTTGCTGTTGCTGTTGCTGTTGTCGTCGAAGTTAGGGTAATTAAGTTAGTGAAGTTAGTTAAGTTAGTCAAGTTAGTTAAGTTAATCAGTGTCTACTTTTGCGACATCTTCACGTCAAAAAAGGTTCAAAACCCTCAGTTTTACACTTTTGACTTCGAAATGTGCTTCGCGCCACAACGGCGTGCACTTTTTCGACACTTTTTCGACATCTGAACCTCCAAAAGTGGTCCGAGCATGGTATGTTTTGTACATTTTGACTTGGAAATGTGCTTCGCGCCACAACGGCGTGCACTTTTTCGCCATCTGAACTTCCAAAAGTGGTCCGAAGCTGGTGTGTTTTGTACATTTTGACTTCGAAATGTGCTTCGCGCCACAACGGCGTGCACTTTTTCAACATCTCAACTTCCAAAAGTGGTCCGAAGCTGGTGTGTTTTGTACATTTTGACTTCCAAATGTGCTTCGCGCCACAACGGCGTGCACTTTTTCGACATCTCAACTTCCAAAAGTGGTCCGAAGCTGGTGTGTTTTGTACATTTTGACTTCGAAATGTGCTTCGCGCCACAATGGCGTGCACTTTTTCGACATCTCAACTAGTAAAAGTGGTCCGAAGCTGGTGTGTTTTGTACATTTTGACTTCGAAATGTGCTTCGCGCCACAACGGCGTGCACTTTTTCGACATCTCAACGTCCAAAAGTGGTCCGAAAATGGTGTGCTTTGTACATTTTGACTTCGAAATGTGCTTCGCGCCACAACGGCGTGCACTTTTTCGACATCTCAACTTCCAAAAGTGGTCCGAACCTGGTGTGTTTTGGACATTTTGACTTGGAAATGTGCTTCGCGCCACAACGGCGTGCAATTTTTCATCTCTCATCTGGCCAGCTGGCTCCGCACCCGCCGCTTTAGCGAGCCTACTTTTCGACCCACCGGAGCCACAAATCATTGGAAAAACACAGTGTTTCGCGACTTTCCTACCTTTTCGTGCATCTGCATCTTCTTTCTTCTGATCTTTTCTCTTCTGACTCTTCTCACCTCTGCTTTTCAACTGTCCATATTGTCGGAAGTTTCACTTCTAAACTTCCTTCGATAATATATATAAAATAAAATAAAATAATATAATATAATACAATAGAGTATAAGATAATATAATATTATATAATACAATATAATATAATAGAATTTAATATAATATATACTATAATATAATATTATATAATATAATACAATATAATATAATAGAATTTAATATAATATATACTATAATATAATATTATATAATATAATACAATATAATATATTATATATAATTAAACATATTTAATATAATATAATATAATATATAATTTAATATATCATATAATATATCTGAAATATCATATAATATATAATATAGTAAAATATACAATATAATATACAATATAATATACAATATAATATAATATACAATATAATATAATATAATATATCATATAATAATATAACATAATATAATATAATATACAATACAATATAATATAATATACAATTTAATATACCATAATATAATATAATATAATATACAATATAATATAATATAATATATTATAATTTAATATAATATAATACAATATAATATAATATAATATATATATATATATAACCCAAGCAAAGCAAACAAAACGCGCATGAGGAGATCTAAAGCTGAAGCATAACCACTACAAGGATTTGTAACAAGGACATCCACAAAACACGCCAGGCTGGCGAATTTACAGGCACGCAATTCCACAAACATGGTATATATATATATTGCATCTGGATCTCCAGCATTGGTCGAGGTTGTTTCTTGGGATGGTTTGAAACCACCACGCAGCAATAGATAGTTCTACCCTTTGTTTCAATGGAATCAGCTAATACACCAACCCCACCCCATATCGAAGGATGTCATTGATCTCCGAGGAAGATTCGCCGTGTTCCACAAATGCCCGGAAAGACCTTTGAGAGCCCCAACTGACTGCGGCGCCGTGCGGCGCTGCTTGAAGGTAGAAACTGCAGATGGCAGTTTTCAAAGGCTGAGCGGCGGTGAAGACCCTTGAAGATGAAGGAAGGCATTTATGGCTACGGCTAAAGGTGATATCCCTTAAAACGAAACTGTGCTACGGCACACAGATGTTTTCATCATTGCTCAGTGGAAGGCCCAATTTGAACAGGCGATATAGTTTGCCCTTATCATGGCTGCGGTCTCTGGGTGAAGAGAGTGAAGTGTTTCCAGCCACAGCTCCTACAGAGCCGAATAATGCTGAAGAGGTTCTTTTTTGTGGGAAAAAATAGGAGAAATCGTGGGTTTTACTCCCATTTTGATGGCCGAAGCATGTTGATCCCACATTTTGCCATTAACATCCTCGCAACAACCACTACTTGACCCAGTTTTCACGCAAGCCATGCCCCCGGTATGGCACAGAAATGCACAGCTGGAGGATGAAAAAGGGTGGAAATTCCAGGCATTTTCTGTGCTGTTACATGAAAAAGAAGGTCGTGAAGTGATGGTTTGTCAACAAACACCAGAAGCTTTGAACGTATGTCTACAAGTTGGTTCACTCTCTCAGTTGTGAGGGTGACACAACCCTCGTGTTGCAGGCCTATCTCAAGTCGGATGTACTTTTCATCGGCTTGATTGGGTGGCAAGGATCTTTCATTCCCACATACTCCATATATGGTACATTACAGTCACAGTGTACGGATTAAAACACAATATGTACATGTAATATGTATATACTTACATACACACACACACACTTATATTTACATTTATGGGTCGATTTTTGGGCTAATGTTGGAACATACGTATATATAATTATATATATATATACACATACACACATACATACATATATATATATATTATAATTATATATATTCTTGGCCGGTGGTTTTAAACACATGTGCTTTTTTCCCCTGACATTCCAACGGCCTTTTAGTAGAACCCACTTTGTTTGTCATGGCCCATCAGGTTGGTGCACGACTGGAGGATCATCTCACGGTCCTCGTAAATGGATTATAGCCGTGATTAGCAAGTCCCCTCAATGGGTTATCCCACATGTAAATGGATTACAACATACTATAACTATGGTAACACACCAGGTACGATTTGTGGGATTCTCCTCCACCTGACAACGTAGGACTTGACTTCTGCTACTTTAGATTCGCTGGCAGAGGTTTGCTGCACATGGTTTTCAGGGCAGCGATGTCAGGGGGTGCTGCAAGATGGAAAGTTCTGGGGATGCCAAAACTATACCTGTAAAGAACGGGTGATATAATGCAGGATAGTCAAGTTATATACAATGAGAATAGCAAAAAAAACATGCAATGAAATAATGATAAGGATAAGAGTCACTGGGGTCATGACTAATCTGCAAGATGGTGGTCTATCGTGGGGAGCCGCGTTCAAGGGGAAATCTCCATGATTTGTCACATATTTTCCGTTGAAGCAATACAGTCAAAGCTCCATGTTTGAGGTAGATGTACATAGCTCAACAAAATCCACACACAAGAAAAATCATTTTCATTTGGCCATTTGGATCAATCCTTGGCGAAGCAAGCCAAAATATCGGTGGCCTTAAATGGCCATCGGTTTCATGGTTTCAGTGGCTGCTAAACCCCCTGTTGGTTGATCATTGGGATATTAAAATAAATTATACTATGTTATATTATATAATATTATTCTATATTAAAATAAATTATACTATATTATAGTATATTAAATTATAATATATATTATACTATATTATATTATATTATATCATATTATACTATATTTTATTGTATATTAAAACATTTATTATATATTATATATTTTTAATATTATATTATATTATGTTGTGTTATATTATATCGTATTATATTGTATATAGATTTTTTTTTTAAAATATTATGTATATTATATTATATTATGTTATATTATATCATATTATTTATTGTATTATTTTGCATTACATGACATTACATTATATTATATTTAATTATCATATATTATATTATATTTAATTATCATATATTATAATATATATATACATTATATTATATTATATATTATACTATATATAATGTTTTTTACATAATATATATATATATATATGTATTATACGTAATATGTTATATTATATATATTATATGTATCTCCATGTTCTAATGTGTTTCCCATCCTTTTACCGCAGATGATCTTCTCGTCCTCCCCTGGTCTCAACGATGACCAGGTGATTCTGCAGCGGGTGGCAAAAAAACACCGAGCGGGTCGGGCGGGTGTGTCCCAAAATGGCAGTCCCCCAGCGGGTTTCAGCGCTAAAATGGCAATTCAGAAAGCCAAGTAGACCAACAGAATTGGTTGACTTGATGTATCCAAGTATGAAACCATCCGTCCGATCTTTGTGGGTTAAACACCTGATCAGCTTTCCAACACCCCTGATCACATGGGACCCCAGATGAACATCTCTCTGCCACGAGGGGGGTCGATGCATCTTGCTGGGTACTGGGTACAATGACATGGGTATGGTACTAACAGGACTTGTAGGGTAGACCATCCAGGTGCTATGATTTTGGATTTTTTGGATCAGTGAACTTGCATTACGATGAGCCACATCAACTACTAGCTATGTGGATTTTGGACGGTTTTAACCATCAACCACTGCGTTCTATGGGTAAACCATGCCAACATCTCGAGAAATTTGATCATGACTTGCAGATATATGAATCAATTTGCGTTCAAGGTATCCAGATCAGGTGTCCCAATGATTCTTGGTTTAAGGCGAAATCTGCAGGACACGCTGATCAAATCGGGGCGGCAAAACTCGAGTTTCCTCTAGATTTCCCCTGATTTCCATTGAGGTAACGCCAGAAATTGGATGGTTCACAACTTTTTCATCTTCATCCCTGCTTGACTTGCGGTGATCCCAGCTCACCATATATATGATCCTGATTTAAAAATTCGTATCACACCTCCTGCTTCCTCTACGATACATTTTGTCAAATAAACCGAAAGAGGCTGATCACACACCCATTCTAGAGATATTGGGATAGGATGCTATAGGTGATTTCCACAGGGAAGGCATGATTATATTATATATTTATATATACATAATCATATGTATATATATATACATACATATACACAATCACATATATATATATATTTACATATACACATATATATATGTATCATTGTATATCCCCATGTTCATTGGTTCGCGTCACCACCAGCCACCGATCCAAGGTCCGTATCATTTTTCCCAACAAGCCAGTGTGAGTCCAAGGGGGGCCAGCTGATTGATGCGTATCGGAATTGGGAAAATTGATAATCCCATCTCCCTAATACTAAACACCCCCTTAGAAACCATGGTTTAATAGGGAATTTCCATTTGGGGGGTGTTTAATATTAGGGGGATGGGACTATAATATATGGGGTTATACGGTTACCAACCAACATTATTTTTGCAGATGATCACAATTCAAGATTGGGAGATCATATTTTTTTAACCAGCCAGTATTTTTCAGGGACAACGGAGGGTTTTGAACAGAACAACCAGCATTTTTTTTGGGGAAACCATGGTTTTTCCTGTGACTTTTCACGAAAAAATCAATCCATTGATATCATTTTCCGTGGAAGGTATGGATCACGTTGATCTACCGAGGGGAGACCCACTGGGTATGGTGTTACTATGTTCAGAAACGCCAGGGACGAGGTACCAAGAAAGGACGTTTTTTGTTACCCGGCCTGGTAAACTAACATAGCTATGGAAAATCACCATCTTCAATAGGTATATCAACTATAAATGGACCATTTTCAATAGCTATGTTAGTCATTACCAGAGGGTACATCAAGTTACAGACAAAACCAGGCCACTTTAAGGTATGGATCCATGCTGATGACAGGAATTGAATATGTACACGGTGCCCCCCAGTTATGTTAGCTAGTTTGTAAACCCCACTACATGTGTCTACCATAAGCCCTAGTTATGTTAGTTATAAACTTAGCTAACTACCCTTGTAGGTGGCATTTTTTTCAGCCTCAGGACATGTTGCGAGCTCGAGATATTCACTACAACAAGTGGTGCAGCTCTCAGATTGCGAGCGCATCTGATCGCAGATTGCTGCTGCTTCAGCATGGTCATTGAGCAGGGACTTGAATAATTAGCTGGGGCATGTTTGCTTCCCATATTTGAATATATTTGACGCTTAAAATCCCGAAAAACGGGAAACACTTTTTACAATCCCACTCGTCCGCCTGTGAAACTTCACCCTGTGGACTGGTGTAGTATTGGGTCTACGTCGAGTCTCTCAGTAGGAGTCTATGCAATCTTTTTTCGGAGATCGGGATTTCTGTATATCAATCCTTTGCTGGGTGATTCCACATAACATACATCGATTCCCTGGCAAATTCCTGCATCACAATTTTTGATGGTTACCCTCTGGTAAACTAACATAGCTATTGAAAATGGCCATTGATAGTGAGTTTTCCCATTAAAAATGGTGATTTTCCATTGCTATGTTAGTTTACCAGAGGGTAAGCTACTGTAGGATCCACTGGGATTTTGAACACCACGACTCAACAGGATCTGTCGCAGCTCCGATCTTGGCTCAGCAGCGTTGGCGCCTCCAACAAGCAAGCCATGCAGGCGTGCTGCAAATGGTGCCCCTGTTTTGACACATGGCTTACTGGAAAATCCACCATTTCCTATCAGAGGGTATATCCCATTGAATCCCTATAACATGTCGCATATCCCAAATATATATGTATATATACATATACACATATATTTCATAAGATTCCCATTATATCCGCGTTTCTTGTTGGTTCACCAATTATCCAATGTCATGTAGTTCGAGGATTTTCCCATGGCCCACCTTCGCCGAGCGTCGCAGGCCATCCCTGGACATCAGACGCAATACCAAATCCTGAATCCAGGAACGGGCAAGGACGCCGCTTGGGATGGCCGAGCTCGGTCGCCTTGTTGAAAGGGCGCATGGATGCGCATGGTGCAACCGTTCACCCAAAAAAAACCTGGGATTTATGGATGTTCATTCCATGAAATGCATGAAATGATAGGCTCTTGATTCTATATTATCATATCTATAGCAGCTACTCGTATAGATATGGTCAATGTCCAATACCCTAAAATTGGTTTACTGTCCTTCCATTCTCTTGTGTAGGACTTCCGTAGATGTTGGATACTTTCAAGCTGAGCCTTCAATGGCCCTCGACAGGGCTGCACTTTTATATGTTTGTGGACACGAATAATATATATAAATATATAATTCATTATAATTATACTACATTACATTCTAAATATAATATTATATATATATATCTAAAACTGTTCTAGACATATAATGATATATATATATATACACATGTCTTGTTCTAGACATTGATATACACAAATGTATATATATATATATACAAATATTATATATAATATGGTACACAATAATATATATATAAATTCTTGACATTGATTTCTGTCACAATTATAATGTGTATATATATATATATTCTGGTACAGATATGTAGTACCCTGATCTGGATGGGAAACGATACCCCCCAGATCACTCATGACTCATGTTCAACCTCACGTAGTTGGGCTATGCTCCCGTGACATATGGATGACAAATCCCCAACATAGTTGATTCTCCACCAGTATGTCATGCCTCTCCTTCATCGCAGCATTCTCCAGTCATTGTAGCATATTCGTGAAATAAACAGAAGTGGGCACAATTCGATCATATTGAACATCTTTGCCCTCTGGAATCAAACATTGCCATTTCTCACATCGTCTATAGTTGCATCCCACAGGCCATCGCCAAGGGGGACACTGCAACGGTTCATGCCACCGGCGTGGTGAAAGAGACCCTTGGATCACTTGGATCTGCATCTGGTGGTGATTTATCTCCATGGTGGTTCAACCATGAACCATTTGGAAGTGGGAATTTAAGCAACCAGTTTCTGGTGATTTACTGGTATGTCATGGGATTTAAACATCCGTTTTTCGTAGGAAATCTGGGAACATTGGGAATATCAACCAATGGTTACGAGACTGGATTCCTGGGAACATCTCATAGTAGTAAGCCCCTTCATAGGATTTCATCGGGAAAATTTGGGATTCCAAAGCAGCAACTTCCTATGGTCAGACAATCGTTGGTTGACCACAAATGAATGCCAGGTGGATTTGGATAGCCAGCCAGAGGGTACTTTGTCTATGAGGCCATAATTCCTACCAGACACAGACCTTACATATTTTATCTTCCAGGTACCTCCAATGTAGGTACCGATTCACTGGAACTTTCTGTGGTGTTTGGAATGTGTTTTGAAGAATGGGAACCGCAAATTCACCGTTTGATCATTCAATTTATCCGCACGACTGTTGGCTGCAACCTGATTTAAAACACTGTTTTGCATGTGTATTTAAGGTTTCTAAGTGACTGGGGGAGAACCCCAATCATCCAGCAAAGACTTGACTTGACGGAAAAAGGGGGATTTGGACATAGCCGTGACATAGCACCTTTTTTTTTCGCACCTTAGAATGATCAATGACAAGTGAGCTTGGCCAGTATGGTACATACATCATGGAATCGGATTCAAAAGAATTAACAGAAACTCTGCATTGGACGCACATACATGAACAGCCTGCAGCATGACTCGTACATAAACCCAGGGAATTGCCGCTTTACTATGCTTTACTACTAGGGAACACTATGTTTTTGCATTTCCCCAGCCTGCTTTCGATGTCTGCAATCCACCGCCCTTTGGAGGGACGATCCTCCCTTTTTGCTTGGTAAATGTTGGCGATATCCCTGTTGATCAAAATCCCACTATCATCTGAATACAGTGAATACAGTATATATATATAAAATCTTATTTCCGTACATCTGTGTTTCTCACATATACATCAGTACAATACATGTATAGTATTTATATCTATATGTATAGGCAACAATCTCCCGAAACGTTAAGCCCATATCTTTCACCATCCAAGGAGCGGCAAGAAGTTTTGGAGCACCAAGGATCCGGGTCAGTCGCCTTTCAGCTACCAGGCCCCGGTGTCATCAGTAAGGGAAAGATGCCGGCTATAGCCAACATGGGATATCATGGAGACAGAATAGGCATGTATACAGATATGTATATATATATATACATACAATAATATTGGCTCAAGTTCTTTTCCTCCCGCATCTTTGCCTAGTTGGTCCCGTTTCAGAGATGGCAGCTGCTCCCAAAGTCGAAGCCATCGCGTGAAGCAGCCTCAACATCCACCGCATGGGCCTGTCATCCAGAAATGTCTTCGCAAAGATAGGGTCTAGAAACCCCTTGCTGGGTGAGGAGCAGTTCCGGCAAGCTGGTGCGCTTCAGGGCCTCAACCTGGTCATGGCAGGAAACCATGACCCCAGTGACGACGATGCAGAAGACGAGACGGTGGCAATCCTTTTTGGGATTGACTGTCATGACGCGCGAGTGGACATCGTTAAGCTGGGAACTGGCAAGACCATCGCGAAGCTGGACACTGCAGCGGTTCACGCCACCGGCGTGGTGAAAGAGAGCGGCAAGAAGTTTTGGACTTGGAGCACGAAGGAAGAGCTCCAGAATCGACAAACTGGTGCAGGTGTTAGAGGAAAGCTCCGACTACAAGGGGCTTTTGGGCCGATTTGCAGCGGCTATTAGATTGTTCCCCATCTCTTGGACTCAGTGCCAGGAAACCTTGCATGTCTTCAAGGAGCACTGCCGAGGGGACAATGCTTGTTTTGTGGGCATCCCTGAGCACATTGTGCACGGTGTTGTGGATCAACTGCCCGACAGCCAGTTTTGGCCCTTTCGGCAGGCCACAGGCCGACCGGCCAGGGGTGAGCACTACACGATTTGGTGTGAGCGCATGTCAATGTTTGCGTTTGCTGGTACGCATCCTGCGTGGCAATCTCATTCGGTGCCAGCTCCGGTCGGCAAGGAGAGAGTTGTGTTACATGCCTTTGCTGGACGCCGGCGCTTTGTTGATTTCCAATGGTATCTCGAAGACATGGTGCAGCACACCGAGGGCATTTACCGTATACACGTCATGCATCTCCATCGACATCGTCATTGACTTGCACTACGGCGACCTTGGTAACCGAGAAGTGCAAGAGTTTTGGCTTGAGGGTATTCGCCGCAGATGGGTCCACTCGTTCTTAGGTGGCCCCCCTTGCTGCATATGGTCGAGGGCGCGCTCCGTAGCCCTGCAGACTCGGCATGGTTCTCATCCTGTTCGCTCTGCGGATTGTGGGGTCTCGCATCACTTGCATTGCGTGAGCTGGTCCTTGATGGCAAGGAGCTGCTTGGCTTCTGCTGGCTTGCGCTCGGTGAACTCGCTTCAAGGTCGCGCTGGCGTCTTGGAGCAGCCCGCTGAACCTGAACAGAGTAGTGCGCCGTCCATCTGGAAACTGCCAGCGGTATAGACTTAGGCTTAGGCCCCCTGGCATGACCAAACATCGGCTTTCGCAAGGCTTGTTAGGGGCTGATAGCCCCGAAGCCCACTGAAATCCTTGCCCTCAACATGCCGAGTTTGCCAGCTGCCGTTATGAAATGGAGGCTCACGCCCAATGTGCCACGAAAATGTAAGCATAGGCCGGTCGTGACTCCTCATGTCACTATCGCACAGCCCAACTGAAGGAATATCCGCCGGCCTTTTGCGCAGCGCTGGCACAAGCCACAGCCGCTGCGATTTCTCATCAGCCTACTGAGAATGTACAGATTGAACCCAGTTTTTTGGGGAGATGTGCGACCATGGACAAGGATATTCAAGGCCAGTTCATAGGACTTGATTTTGCGTGACGACAAGTCGCTGTTCCAGCTTAGAATTCACTCGCTAGGCCGCTGCTGTGAAGCATCTGTGCGCCGTAGCCCAAAAAATAAAGTAATATATGTGTGTATATATATATAAGTATAAACGATTGTGTTAAACATGGCAAGCTGGTAAATCCCCGTGGCCTAGCCATGGGCTTTGAAAGGAATATGATCGAACGAAATAGTGGACCGAAGGGCAACAACAAAAAAAGTCAGAAACCTGGACACTTGGATAAACTTTCAGAAATCCTGATCAGAGTCTTTTTATGAAAGAAAACTGGACAAAACTATCAAAGCTTTGATAGAACCTTTCTAGATTGGACAATTTCTATCTTAACCCAAAGATTAGGTTTTGGAAATGGGGTTCACCTGGCAATAGGTTACCTACCCATACCTCATTTTCCTGGTAAAGCAAAAAGCACAGAGGATAACAGGACGGACCACGCGGAAGTGGCGACTGACTCGGTTGACCCAAGTGACAAGCGATGGGATGATTTGAACCAGAAGGAACTTGATGATGGCTGGGTTTGAAATGGATACAGTAGATGGAATATAATATAGTATAATATCATGAGATAATATCATGAGATAATATCATTTAATGGTATCATATCAATAAATAAATAAATATATATATATATATAATACTATTATGTAGTAAAATATGATATCATACACTATGATATAATTTCATATAGTATGATTTAATATCATAGAATAACATTTGATATGTCTACATATACACAAACATATACATATACATAAACATATACATATACACATACAAACAGATATATATATATTTAATACTATATATGATCTACATAGAGACTTGATGACCTCCAATTCCTCACGAATTTCATCTGACCGGCAGGCAGGCGTGGGCAAGGTTGGGAGCCTTGGGAGCCTCGAGAGTTGGCTTCTGCCGATTTCGAGAGTAGCCAGCAATTAGTCGATTTATCCCGGTAATTTACCACGTGGCTTGCTGGAAAAACCTCCATTTATAGATGGTTTTCCCAGCTAGAAACTTCCATTTATAAGGTATTTTCCATTGCCACGTTTGATTGGAGGGTATCGTATCATAATCCATGAACTGGGAATCCCTATTGACGAGGCAGTATAAAGGGACGACATTTCGGGTGTTGAACGCTGTTCGTGTGAATTTGTCTCAAAATGGAGTCATGCGCCAATTTGTGGCATGTGTTTGTCGGAAGATGATAAACCATGCAATGCAGTTTTTTTGGGTACCCAATTGTGAGGCATATCCATATTGCGGTAGGATACAATCGAACTTGCTGTGTTTGCAGGTTTCGGGGGGGCAAGTGCGAAAGTTCATGAGAACATAGTATTGTCACGTATGAGAATTTGGTACAATTCAAATGGTTGTGTAGACTTGTTCCCGTTCACTAAACCGTCTCCTCTTCTGTTCATTTGAGCATATTTGAGCCATCAGAGATGCCACCTCTGACTGCTTGCTATAGGGGGATGATTTGTCCCATAACTAAGGGTATCATAAGGACAGCTGTGAGCCAACCGTTGTGTTTCATGGGAGAAAGCGGGCGGGGTATGATTTGGGGCTTCCGAGGTCATTACCGGTTGGGACCAAGGATGCTTGGGAATGCAGGTCGGCGAGGAGCGCAGAACGCCAGTCTAAACTGGATCAGACTGGGGAAACCAACTGTTTTTGCATCTGTTTGCCATTTTCATAGAAACACATACAGAGAGAGAGAGAGATATATATATAATATAATTATATACATATTGATTATTGTATATTTGTATTGATTTATGTACATGCATACTCACCAATATTTTTAGTGTATCTCCCAGTCCCAGATTGGCGAGAACTAGACATTCCGAAAAACTTCATGACTTGACGATACCCCAGGAGCGCAAGCTGGTCATTCCCGCCAATGAGGCTGACCTGCTGACCGCCAGCGGGTTTTTTGGTTGGAAAACATATGGACAATTCATCACTTTCCCCGGTGGATTTCATGATTCTTCATGGTCATCATTGGAGGAAACCCACGATGGCATTGATGGCATCTCTTTTTGTTCCGGGCGGATTGTAAAACGGGGAAGATATTGGGACATTGCTAAGCTGCTATGGAGTCAAATTGATGGACATCCCAACTTACATTCCCATGAAAGCGATGTCGAACAGCTCCAAATTCCAAGTTTAGGTCCTTTTTTTTTGTCAATAGCTTTGTTTTTCCAAACGTAGCTTCAACTCAACTCTTCCAATAAATCACGCCCCCTATTTTTGGGTGGCATAGTTCAATCCGCTAAATGGCTTTGTCTGAATTTACGCCAATCCAGTTGACCCAATTGCCATTCTTATGGTATTCAAATGTCTTAAAACATATATTTAGAATATTTTAGAATAACTACTATCATCCAAAATTGCGGATAAAACGCATCTTCATGTCATATTCAACATATACATATATATACATATATATATTTATAATATATATATACATAGATTCATTCCAATTTTCGATCCAAAGTTCATCCCATCACTCTTGTTCGCAGGGCTATGGTTCTGGTGGCTTCCCAGCCTGGGGCATCCCTCCTGGAGCCACCTTGGAGTTCACCTTGGAATGCCTCCAGGCGGTGGCGGCGATTTCATCCGTTTTGGGATGGTTGGATCTTGAAAAACCGATGGGAAATCTGATGGAAATGGCGATTTTTGGCTATGGCCATGGTGATATATATTATATATACATATTATCTATATATATATATATTATATCTCATATATATATTATATGTATTGTATATATTACATTATTTTTTAAATTATATTATATTATATTAAATTATATTATGTAGATTATATATATATGTATATATATTGTATAGGTTAAATAATATATATATATATTTATTTATATATTATACATTTATATATTATACATTATATATATATATATTATATATTTTATATTATATATATTATATATGATATATATATTATAAATATTATAATATATATATATATTATAGTATATATATATTATATTACATATATTATATATATATATATTATATATATTATTTATGTTATAATATATTGTATATATTTTAAATATTACATATATTATAAATATTATATACTTTATATATATTATATATAATATACATTATATATATTATATATTATATATATTATTTATATTGTATATATTATATATGTTATAAATATATATTATATATATATATATTATATTATATTTATATTATATATAGGAATTTATTTGAATTTATACAGTGGAAATGACCATTCTATCATGACTCATTGCCAATGCAAATGGGATTTCAATGATTGCCATTCTGCCGACGCTGTTGAACTCACCAATGGTGAGTCTTGAATGGAGTTCAATTTCGACATGTTCATTTTGCGTGGCAGGGGCAGTGATTTGTGATGGATGGAAAAAGAGCAGTGTCATCTTAGCAGGCAGGCGCGCGTTATTTTTGCGTGCTTGGAATGATCTTGTTTCGTTTGTCTTTGGGGGGGTACTGCTAGGGTGGGGGGGGCATATAAACGTTCTTAACGTGCCGTTCAGGTAACTCTTTTCAAGAGCCTGTGGTCGTTTGTTTCTTTGTTTTGAAACGCCTTTTTGATACTACGCTCTTGACTTTCTTGTGTTGATGTTAACACGTTGATGATGTTATGCTCTTGACTTTCTTATGTTGATGTTAACACGTTAATAGTGCTATGCTCTTGACTTTCTTTTGTTGATGTTAACACGAGAATGATGCTACGCTGTTGACTTTGACATGTTCATTTTAACACGTTAATGATGTTACGCTCTTGATTTTCTTTTATTGGTGTTTACACGTTGGCGATGTTACACCGTTGACTTTCTTTTGTTGATGTGAACATGTTGATGATGCTACGCCACGCTCTTTTTTTGTTGATGTTAACACGTTAATGATGCTACGCTCTTGGCTTTCTTGTATTGATGTTAACACGTTGATGATGCTGCCATCTCTTTTTTTCTGTTGATGTTAACACGTTGATGATGTTACGCTCTTGACTTCCTTATGTTGACGTTAACACGTTAATGATGCTGCGCTCTTGACTTTCTTATGTTGACGCCTTCAAAGTCGCACGGCTGGACTGGCTCCAGCGAAACAATGAGTTGGCTGCACGTGTTCCTGCTCACAAAGTCTGTGGGATTTTTTCAAAGGGATGGATTTGAAACATCAATGAAAAACATCAGTTCTTAACTGTTTCGGGCGACGGCGAGACATAGGGCTTGCGCGTATATATATATACGTGTGTGTATATATATATATATCAACTATATCTACAATTGTTTTTGATGGGGCGGGATATAGTGTGAACATAGTTTGGGGATATAGTTGAATTACTCTGGTATACTGTAGTTGATATTCTAAATGTCTAAATGCTTCATACATTTAGATGTATTTATAGATTTTCCCAACAGATGCTCCAATGTATCTTGATGCGAAACCGCCAAGCTATCCACATTGGTGAAATGGCTAGAAACAGGGGACCATCGGGTTGGGTTAATACTAAGGGTTGAGCAAGGGCTTATGAACTACCGACAGCCATGTCGATAGACTTATTACTTACCTACTGGGATGCACATCCACTCTACTGAAGTACAAAACCAGGCATATAGTCACCAAAATATGGAGGTTTCCTGAAATAGGGGTTCCCCCAAATCATCCAATTTAATAGGATTTTCCATTATGAACCATCCATTTTGGGGTACCCCCATTTTAAGAAAACCCCATGTATCCCTTTCCAGTTCAATCAGCTCAGCTCCCACCAGATTCAATGAGATGTCTGAGCCACTGCGGAGTTGGATGCTGGCCGCTATAAGTTTCAGCGATGGGCGGCTGGGTTAAAAGTCAAGGACCACCATGGACCCAGAGATGTTTCATCGGTTTCTGCTGTTTCTCATCATGTCATGAGTTTCATCTCTGTTCAAAAGCAAAGCCCTATATGTATCTATATTTAACATTATATTTCTATATCTTATCTCCGGTGTTTATCCTTATTTAATTTATCTACACATCTGCTGTACTTTCAAACTTTGACCTCTGCCCTCATTCCGCGCCCCAATCCGACCTCTATGGGCCGCCCTGTTTTGACGCTGGCCTTGCCGGTGGAAGATCTTCGAAAAGATGTGCGAGTCGCGAGCCATGTTCGAAAACACCCCAAAAAAAGGATCCCCATGGTCCCAAAAACGTTTTCGAATCCCCAAAAAACAACATGATGTTTCTGGGTATATTAGATGGGTCTTTTGACTCTTGCTGCAATGTTGTATATCCATTTGGCAAATTGTCAATTCCATCCCCCTAATATCAAATATACCCCCCAAAGCAAACCTTGGTTTAGTATTGGATATGGTTTTTTTTCCTTCCCAAAACTGGCGGTGTTTGATATTGGGCGGGAAGGGATTCTTAAAAAAAATGCAGCCCTTTAAATCCTCATCATCTGCTTGTATCAGCTTCATGATCTTCTAAATCAACCCTCAATAGATAAAAATCCCAATGGAAATCACCATTTTTCTACTAAAAATCACCATGAAATCACAATTTGTCTACCAAAAATCACCATGAAATCACCATTTGTCTACTAAACATTCCCATGAAATCACAATTTTTCTACTAAAAATCTCCATGAAATCACCATTTTTCTACATTTCCCACATGTTTTTTCATTTTTTTCCACCAAATCCTCCAATTGACGTTTGCTGAGGCGGAAGATGGACCGCCCCGAGCTTCTTCGTCGTGGCTACTACAACGAGGCCCAAAGGTCAAGCGGTGGACTAGTGATGTCCAAGGATGAATGGCTCGCCACGTAAATGTTAACGGAAAGCTGTAGAAAAACAATGTTTTTTCTAGGAAAATGATCTACAATTGGTGTGTTTTCCACATCGAACTGTGAGTTTTTGTCCAACAAAGATGTTTGAGAACCGATAGAGGATTTTTCACCAGCAAGAATGTCAGATTGCGCCAAACATAAAGGATTACTTGGATACGGTTCTATGATATGTTTCACCATAGTCGTAGGGGCCCATATCATAACTTATGGGGGTGATATACCCCGTATATCCATCAAGGTAGCCCAAACTGCACCCCGAAAGCAGGGTAAAATCCACTCTGTACCCATTATCTACCAATTTATTTACATTCAAACCACTATATACTTATAAACCAATTGACATTCAATGAATTCACCAAGAATGATGGATCATACCATCGAAAACCCATACCACCTCCGTCGTTTACCCATCTCCGAAGTCGTGGATACTGAGCATGAACAAGTCTGAAAAAGTCCAACTAAATTAATTGTAACAGTAAGATTTATTATACAGTATGCTTGTTTTCTTTTTGGAGGTTACAGTTCAAACATGTTCAAGATGACGGTTTTTCAGGATGGAGCATCCGTGGTTCATCAAAAAAACGGCCACGAAGCCACCAGCACGGGTCCCGAGCTGGCCAGGTGAATGAGGATGCCTGGCCGGGACCCTTTGAGGCGTCCCGAAACATGCGGCGCAGCCATGGGGCATGGCTATGGACAATGGCCCATGGAGCCAACTTCCGCAAAAAACTCGGTCAACCAGAGCTTCAGCAAGGTCAACCCACAATTGCCTACATGCTTCAGCCAAGCATCATGCGAGATAATATGAAGATATATAAAGTATTTCAATCTTTTTTCCTGCCCCTGTGGTCTTTGTCCTTTCCAGGACGTCGCTTAAACCACGCTCGGTCATGTGCACACCACAAGTGATTGTTTGGAGGAATGTTAAAGTAACATACCTTTGCAAAAGCTAAAACCCCAGCCAAAAAAGATTTGTGAAAGAATGCGCAAATAATTGTTTTCGCGAAAGCTCCGCAAAAGGAAACCGCGCATGAAAACAGTACTCCGTGAAAGCTCCGCACGCAAAAGTAAGTTTCAGCGAAAGAAGAGAAACGCACTTGGCGAAAGCGTCGCGAAAGTGATGGCGAAGAGAAGATCGACTAGAATAAAATTTATGAAGGTTTTGGAAACGGCCCCATACAGTTCGATGATTTACTTACATTTTACATATGATGGTGATTTTCAATCGGCAATGTTTTTGAAGTTTTAGGGTTTCCATTTTGTGGGACGTCATTTTTTTGGCTGGTGATAAGAGCAATGTCATAGCTATGTTTCACCACATGTTCCCCTCATATCCTGTTCATGTTCCGAAAAGAACAAGCGGAATCCTCGGTGTCTGGGTCTATCTGAAAACAGGATACCCCAAAATCCAAGTTCTTTAGCAAATTGCCGATTTAAATGGCCATTTCGATAAAAGGTATACCGGTATAGCGTATATCCCATTTTCCCATCTTTGGACAAACGGATATAGACCCATATCATAGTGTTGGTTCTTCACATATATTCCTATGATTTCCTATAGATATGCAATGATATGTACCATACACACAACATCTACAATTTATAATTTATAATTATATATGTATATTATTTATTATGTGTACGTATATATATATGTATATGTATGTATATATATAATATAATATTATACTATATTATATTATATTATATTATATTACATGATGTAATCTATCTCATTCCATCCCCAGGTGCTGGTACTCATCCCTCCAAACAAAATTGGCACATCCGGCAGGATGTCTTCGTTTACATCATCTGTCAGGAAGCAGCAGAACTTCCCAAGATCAGGTGCGTCATATCACATGGGCTGATGTGGATCAAAGACCTCAAGGGTGAGGCCTGAGGTTATGATAGCTGGTTGGTTCAAACATGATTTTTATTTTCCATTTCATATATGGGATGTCATCCGAAACCCATTGACTTTCACTCCATCATTTTTCAAGATGGTTAAAACGCACCACCAACCAGATAGTTATTTATAGTTTTTTCTGTTGGATATAAGAAGATGGTTGATCCTTGAACATCTAGGAACGCAACGACCAAATTTTGATCAAACACCCAGTGCATTGGATCAAATCAAAGTCGAAGAACCAGACACTGTTTATTTTTCAACATACAGTACATTCGAGCGGACCTTGTGTGAAGATTTGCTCTTGCATTGAGAATGCCTGCAAAAATGAGCTTTCTTAGGTCTTGGTGTGTGTATGAATGAATCACCAGCTGAAAAAGTCAACATTAAGTATATAATATCAGTGTAATATACATACATGATCTATTCAAGAAACGCATTGTCCATATAGATGTAATGTGTCCATTATTGTGTGTGTTATATCTGCTTACCATCTCAAAAAAAACATACGTAATATTGACAATATATGGATTTCCCACATGTGATTTCCCATAAACAACATTTTTTATTTCCCATATAAATCCATATAAATCCATATCAATCCATATAAATCCATATCAATCCATATCAATCCATATAAATCCATATCAATCCATATAAATCCATATAAATCCATATAAATCCATATAAATCCATATAAATCCATATAACATATACAACATCTATGATTTTCCATAGGACATTTTCCGGAAGGACCGTGGGGCCCGTTTCACCCCGTCGTTTTGTTTTTGTTTCAGCGGAGGAATTACATCGAAAAGGCCGACGCCGTAGCCACGAGGTGCCAGCATGTGATTTCCCATGGTAAATATACAAAAAGTTATGGAAGATGGCCCATTTATAGATGGTTTACCTATTTAAAGATGTTGATTTTCCCATAGTTATGTTAGTTTACCAATGTTTACCACATATCTATCCTGGTAGACTAACAGTTTGCGACATAGAAAATGGCCATAGAAATAAGTTTGCGACATAGAAAATGGCCACAGACATAGTTGGTTTTCCTATTAAACATGGGTGATTTTCCAGAGGGTATGTCAATAATTATACTGTTCTGGTTGGTGGTGAACATGAATTTTATGACTTTCCATATGGGAATTTCATCATCCCAACTGACGAACTCATATTTTTCAGAGGGGTAGGTAAACCACCATCCAGTATCAGACGTGTGTGGAAACTTCAAATGGACATATCATCTATCATTGGAATATCTATCAGTTGGAGACCTAAAATCACAGAGAATTTGTGGAATATCATGGCAACATCATGGGAATAGCTTGAGAATATCATATCAGATATAGCCTCTGAATGACTAAGAGATCACTCAATGGGCCATGGCTTCGAGTTCGCAAACTGTTGAAGTTTGCTCAACATCAACGGGTCTGGTAGCAGTTGCCGCGACGGCCATGAACCAATGGAACTCAGAAACATATTCGTTTGGATTGGGACAATTGGGACATGATTCTCATGAAACAATTTTCTAGCATTTGAAGGATCTGACATGTCCTGCCTGACATATAATTTGTTGTTCAAAATCTCTTCAGCAGTTAATCGAGTTCAAGTCTTGGGATGCCGAAATTTGTCCGGAAAAATGGATGTTTAATGGTGTATTAAAATGTGTAAAATACGACCTCAATTTGGATTCTCATTTGTTGCCAGGCAGGGCCGCGTGCTGCGACATGTGCTCTTCAATTTGAACCTCAACAAGTTGAGGTGGGCGAAAAAACACGGGCGTGTTGTCTGACAATTTCCCGGAAAGAATCCAAATCCCACTGGAGTATCATCATTTGCCCCATTAAGAACCATTTTGAGAAGAAATCAGACCCATCTATAGATAGGAAGTATCGAAAACTGCCAATGGATCTCTAATCCTTGGGGCCAACAAGACTCAGGATCCCCAACAAACTTGGCATTGAATTGACCGCTCAATTCTTACGGTGTGTCGCACCTCGATGGGGCAGTTGAGTGTTAAAAAAGGACCCATCGAGGGACCCAGATTCCCCAGCCCCTCAGAGTTTTGATGGTGTTTGATCCGGCCAAAGCATATCAGCCCCGAACTTTTCCAATATGATACATTTGAAGCCCCAAAAATGATAGAATAATATATAGAATCTAACCGTGATTTGCCTTGGATTTTATATGACTTTATCACATTCATCCAAATGGTGATTGATATACCACAACACTTCAAGAAAATCACCGTTTGCTGTGACCTTCTGGGTCATCCCCAGTGGCGCCAGGTCAGATATCGAGTTCCAGCGGCGTTTGTTGCCCTTCCAACCTGGGCAGGCCACGTCCAAGGCCAACAGAAGCCGGCCATAGCTTGGGTGATTTAGAACTTCTAAGCCATGTATGTTCTATATAATATATAATATTCCTAGCTACGATATCATTTTTTTTGGCGATTCCAATTCGATGCTCTCCCAAGTGGGAGTTGGATCCAAGCCATTCCCGGCATTCCCAAAGAGATGGAACGGTTACACGCCGAAAAAGATCATTTTTCAGTAGTCAACCAAACAACTGTAAGGGATTTTACAATCAGTATAGTGGGGATAATTCATCATCAGCTCCAGTGAAAAAACACCTAAATCTCCGAGAAAAACCTGTCACCATCTGCATTTCGTGGGGATAACTCACCGAGACAAACCGGTGGTGCCGAGTTGCGCCGAGCGGCAGGTCCATTTCGACTTCTTCACCACCTTTCGCAATGCCTACCTGATTCGCTTTGGAAAGTGAGGATGCCCAGGATGCCTAGGACTTCCGCATGCTATCCGAGGGTATGGGGTGCCCTCGGGTTATAATGAACCAGATTTAACTGGAGTTCCAAAAGGCTGGGCGAACCATCCTGTTGTTTGGCGTGTGTATGTGTCTGAACATGGGCTATACACCCGATTTACGGCAATTTCGATGTTCGGAGACATGGCGATCAACCTTAAAAAATGTTTTTCCATGAAATATTCCGTCAAAATATTCATATACATATTCCATATTATTCCATCATATATGACTGTATATACCTGGAAAACCGTATGGACATTTTTTTTGTCCATTATGGGTTTTACCCGTAACGGACGTTTTTTTTGTTCAATTGCGTATGTTGGTTTTTGATTGTGAAGGGTTGTTCAAATCCTTTGACAGCACCGTGTTCGGACATCCTCCGACAGTTGCCAAAAGAGGAATTTCAGTCCAAAGTGGAGCAAATTGGGAGTCGTGATCGGTCACCCAAATCTGGCCACAAATGCTGCCATATTTCCCACCAAATTTGGATGTACCCATAAAATACCAGTATTTTTTCAACATCATGTTGAAAAAAAACAGTAAGCAAATGTCAACATACTGCCCCAAATACTGTCTCTAGACGAGACACTCATACTGTCGGAACCAGTCCGACAATCCAAGAGTTCAGGAAAACTATTAACTAAATTAACCTGTAGAGGGTTTGCAGCCGGACATGGCCGTATTTGGAAAAAATACGGAACGGACAAAAAAAATGTCCAAACCCGTACGGACAGAAAAAATTGTCTTTATGGTTTTCCAGGTATATATATATCAACATGCTGGTAGAATAAAATTTTGGTTTGCATCACATATTCCATCCGATTCCCATTCCCATGTCACATCATTTCTTGTGGCTCCAAGACCGGAGGTACACTCAGACCGTGCTGCGAGATCCCTTCAACATCAACTACGTGGGCGCGATGCGCGCGGCTGTTAGTTTGGCCGCTTTTATAAATGGGGTAAAGCATGGGAATGGTTAGATAATGCTAAATATCTCTGTAGATGTATAATTACCTAAATGTATGTTCTGGGTTTGGCCAAAGAACCATAGTGTTTAGCAGTTGCCAACTTGTATCACCCAAGCAACTACATTTTTCATTTTGAGATTTGATTAGTTTGATTTTCAAAGTCTAACCATTTACATTCATTTACTCATGGTTTACCCTATATATATATATCTATGGCTAAACATCAGTAACTTTGCCAGGTACCACGCCTATCCCAGTCCGTGGCAAGTCTTCATGCAGGTGGGCCTGGTGAACCGGAGAATCCGCATGGATGTAGTGCCATCAGTGACTCAAGTACCAAGTATATTACAATATATATATGTACACATGCATAGTACATATACATAGTATATGATATTTTATATGATTCCCTACCTGCTGCTTTATGTGTGAATGACCATTGACCATGTTTCAATTTAACTAATTTCCCATCCCTACAAACAGGATCCCAACTGGAATATCAAATCCCAGATTTGCGAAATGGTAAATTCTACAGGAACGGCATATGTTTGGAAATCCTTCGTTTGGAGTTCGGGGAGAAAAAATATTTCGGAAAGCCTCATATTTCATTGGATAAAAACCGTACTTTCCTGATCTTTCCTGCAGGTGTCCCTTGAAACAATCCATTGCAGGACCCGGATGGTGCTTACGTCCCCATCTGGGCCACTGACCTCCGTGCAAACCCTAGAGATTGGCCATGGAGAAACGTTCTCCGATGGTGATTCGACCGTGAGACATGAAGACTTAACTACGAAAGTGGTCCTTTCACTGCGAAAAATGTGGATTTTCCCTTTCGCAATGAGGATTTCACCGTGAAAAATGACGATTTCACGAAGAATAATGAGGATTTGACAATGGAAAAAGGGGACTTAGGCATGCAAAATGAGGATTTCACAATGAAAAATGAAGATTTGATTTAACCATGAAGAATGATGATTTGACTATGAACAAGTTGTCTTTGACCAACAGTATGTTATCAAAAAGATAGGTTGGGGTCCAAATCATTTGGGTACGGCCCATCCCCTAGTCCAGTGACAACTACCACATCTAAAGGCCTTCAAATGGCTGCCGAAAATGAGGTATACCCCGCAAATGGTACATATTATATTTCAATGAAAAGTGATGATTCCCCAGTTGATTTAAACGGGGCTTCCCGAAGATTTGTTGCCAAACCCAAACAAAGTCAAAATGCATCCCGCGAGGTGATGCCGCAAAATTATAAGTTGGTTTAGATCCGACATGAAAACTAGATGTATACCCCTACCATACAACAGTTGCTGGAGTTGTTTTTTCCAACTTGGCTAACATCAATCAGCAATATCAACTACAAATGCATTTGTTTGTTAAACTCTCAGCATTATTAGGGACATTTACTATGGCAAACTGGGGCTGATTGGCTTGGCATCTCCCTGTTTTGGATCCGATCTCTCAAGGCCCTTCGGTGCAGTGTGTGAAGCCGCAGCCTCACCGAGGGTCCTCACACTTTGGGTCTTGGGATACACCAAAATTATGCCAAATGATCCAAGATGATGATGAGATGAGGATGAGGATGAGGATGAGGATGATGATGGTGATGATGATGAGGATGATGATGAGGATGATGATGAGGATGATGATGATGATGATGATGATGAGGATGAGGATGATGAGGATGATGATGAGGATGATGATGATGATGAGGATGATGATGATGAGGATGATGATGATGAGGATGATGATGATGAGGATGATGATGATGATGATGATGATGATGATGATGATGAGGATGAGGATGATGATGATGATGATGATGAGGATGATGATGATGATGAGGATGATGATGGTGATGATGATGAGGATGATGATGATGATGATGATGAGGATGATGATGATGATGAGGATGATGATGATGATGAGGATGAGGATGATGATGATGATGATGAGGATGATGATGATGAGGATGAGGATGATGATGATGATGATGATGAGATGAGGGTGAGGATGAGGATGATGATGATGATGATGATGATGATGAGGATGAGGATGATGATGATGATGATGATAATGATGATGACGACGATGACGTTGTTGATGGTGATTGTGATGGTGATGTTGATGATGACGATGATGACGATGATGACGATGATGACGATGGGAAAAATGAACATGTGTTTCTTATCATGAGCCGAACGGAAAACTTGAACCCTCCAAATACTGATGTATTGGAAACACTAGATCATCCTGTTTGGTGGTTAGAAGGGAGCGGGTAGGAGCTTAAGGCGTCTCATAGTGTTTCAATACTGCTTATTGAAAGGGGAACCCAGGAGTTACAAATTGGCTGTCCCAGGCCCCAACCAAATCTCATAGAATGGGGCATCCGATTTTCTAGCAACCTGGCTTAATATTGATTATCAGTGGAAGTTTGGAAGTCTAAACTACACAATACGGAAAATATGGCAGAGAAGAAAATCAATCACCACCATCACCACCATCATCGCATAACCACGTCACCACATCACCACCATCATCACATCACCACATCACCACACCACCGTACCACCACACCACATCACATCACCACATCATCACATCACCACACAACACTACCACCACATCACCGGCACCTGGAATTGCTTCGTCAACGCGATGCTTGAAGGTCAGGAATCGCACCAAACCCTGTGTTTTTTTCGCATTAAGTGCGTCTCGGCGGCGATGTGGGGAACCTTGTCTGTGCAACGGGTGCGGCTCATGTTCGGCTTCGCTCGGAAATGGGCCCCAATGTCAGCGCTGCGCGGAGCTGATCTTTTGTGGTGCTGCGGCTGCGTGTGTAGTTCTATTGTCCTTTGCAGCTGAGCGTCGCAATTCGTATTGGAGTGGCTGCATCAAGGTTGCGATGGTGATTTTGCAGCATTTTTTTTCTCAATTTTGGCGCTGACCATTTTCCTTTTAAAATTCATTCAAAGAAGTGTTTCAAAATCGTCCTTTTTTGGCTTTGGTGCCGAGATCCGGTTTCGGAGCTGCAATTTCTGTTGCCGTTGCGTATGTGAAAGCTTGCTCTGTGTAGAAGTTTCTCTGTGTAAAAACTTGCTTGGAGTAAAAGCGATCTGTGTAAAAACTTGTCTGTGTAAAAGCTTGTTTGTGTAAAAACTTGCTCTGTGTAGAAGTTTCTCTCGTAAAATAAACAAACTGCTTTTCTGTGCTGTGTAAACTCATTTGGGTGTAAAAGCGTCTGTGCGTAAAAACTTCTGTGTGTAACAGCTTCTGTGTGTAAAACTTCTGTGTGTAATGCTTCGATTCTTTGAGTAAAAATAAAAATCTCTGTGTGTAAAAGCTCCTCTGTGTAAAAACTTCTCTGTGTAAAACCTCTCTGTGTAAAGGCTTTGTAGTACCAAGAAGTACTGAGAAACAATTTGTGTGGGAGGGGGTTGCCCAAATTTGATCTTGTTTTGCAAGCATTCATGTCGACCTCTCTCTTGTCTTGGCTCTTGGTTGGTTGGGGGGGCAGTAACGTCTGTATGTGCGTTTCCTGTAGCACGCATTCATGTCGACTTCTCTCTTGTCCTGCTGTAAGTACTTCGTTTCTCCAATGTTACATGCTCTATGCTCTCATGTTTTACATACACTACGTCAGAACGTCTTAAATGTACTTTCACATAGCTCACGTTGCTCTAGTGTCTTACATACACTACGTCACAACGTCTTACATGTACTTTCACATAGATCACGTTGCTCTACGCTCATGTATACTCCGTCATCATGTATAGTACGTCGTCACGTCTTACATGTAACTTAACTTATAATACGTCATCATGTCTTACAATATACAGTACATGCGCAGAAAAGCAAGTTGCTTGGCTTGCCTCTTGATTCCGCACACATCGATGGCTTATCCGCTTTGTACATTCATGAAAACCTTGGGATTGCAATGGTCATGGAAGCCTTTGTGCGCTACATGGCTTTTGTCAAAGACAAAATTCATCCCAACAAGGCCTATGTAGATACCACCTGGTTCACTGAAAAGTGACGAAATTCAGGACGAAAAACCTGGGCGATCCCTTGTAAGGGTTGTTTTCAACATCTATTTTTGAAAAAACGGAAGTTGACTTGATGCACAACTTGATGAACATCTTGAACCAATCCATAATATGAGGTCAAAAGAGAACTATGCACAATGATAAAAATATTCTTGCCACCATAGCGAAAAGCACATTTTTGAATAAAACAGCGTTAAAAACAGTTCCCTACATCTTAACGAACTCAATGATGAACATCTTGGAGTTCATCAAGATGCCACATCAATGGTAGGCCTTTGTTTCTGCCAGCTGAAGTTCGCCCCCCGAGGCGCAAGTTGCAGAGGGCCAACTCCCTCTGGCGCGATGTGGGACTGCCGGAGGTGGAAAAAAAAACGTGAGTGATTTGCGAAGGGAATGCGTTGAATTCATGTTAAATCACATGGAGCTTTCTTGAAATGGGGGGGTACCCCCAAAACCATCCAAAACCATAGGTTTCAATTCTAAACTGGTCTCATTTTTGATGATTTGGGGCTACACCCATGACTTCGGAAACCTTCACGCGGAGTTTTGGTTGATTCTGAGATCCAGCACATAAAGTTGACATGACTTGAAAGATCCTGATGGCCCCAAAGACGAGACCGGGGGCAGGATGACAGCAAGGATGACGTCTACAAAGTTGCAGACATCAAGGTGCATGGGAAAAACCTCGCCAAGTTGTGACTGGGTCGGGGTCAAGGCACTACGAGTGGTTTTATGTTGGACGAAAAAAACACATGCTTGGTACATGACTTGGGAGCCTTGTCTCAGGGTGCAATAAACAACAGGCCAGCAACATGTTTGACATTTTTTTCTGACACTGCTCCGTTGTCATGGGTTTCACCCTGTTCGAAGTGGACCTCCATTTCCTTCCCCAAGCTGGTAGCCACAGTTCATCAGGCTCTGCGAATTGAGTGCAGGCAACATTTTAGGAGAAACCACTATCTTTCAATTTCACACTATACCAAGGAACCATAAGTCCTGCAAATTGTCCCTTCTTGCCCATGGGAATGTTAGTTGGAATGAAAGCCTCCGGTTTTTCTTATCTTTTCCTGCCCCTTGGATAGGCAGCTGGTACCATCCAGAAGACTGTCCTTCAGTTCATCAAGGAGGGCGCCGGCGATGCCTTGTGGTGGGAGGACTGGGACGGACACCGAGCACCGGGGGGGTGGCAGTATATGGAAGGATCCCTGACAGTTCTTGTCATGATGCATCTATGATTGTTGACGTTTCTATTTGGGCCACGTTTGCATAGACATACACATAATATATATATATATATATATTATTATACTATATATATCATATCATATACCTGGACCACCCAGTGGTACAGATAAATGTGTGAGAGGGGAGGTCTCGCACACATTTTGGCAACTCGAGCGCATTTTTGTTTTGACCACTGGCCTCGAGCACACTTTTGTTTTGACCATAGTTTGGGACCAATGTGGCATGTTGAGCATCTGCCAGCTCCAGCAGCCATTTTTTGCACGGTACAGGGTAGCACCACCATGTCACTGGGTGAGTTGGGAGGCAATGGGTGTGAGACTCAATGATGCTTTGCATGTTTCTGCATGCATTTTCTGCAGTATGCATGTTAATTAAGCAGAGTGCTTTTGCAATTTGTTTGTTTCTGACATGTTTTGTGTATCTCTCTCTCTCTCTCTCTCCCCTTCTTAGGTCCGACTGTTTGACCTTGGGGTTGTGAGCCTTTGTGGGGTCTGCATGATGCAGCATGTGGTTGTGAATCTAAATTTGTGCATGGTTGCGAGCTTCACTACAGAGATGGACCATCCTAAGCAAAGTTTTCATTGGACTCAGCGGGGCCTCCCAGCTGTGCCCTCATGCGTTTGAATGCTTGTTTGTGATGCGGGGCATGCAGCATGCTGTCAAGACTGCTGCTTTTCAATGTTCTGGTTGTTTCACGTGTTGGAACAATTTGGCCTTGCAGCTGTGACTGTGCTGTTGTGTGCTGGTGATTGCGTTTGAGCAACCCGCTATGCTCGCGACTGCTTGGGCAAATGACCCTGTCGTGAAGCTCATGGCAGTGAATCATGCGGTGTCAAGAATCCCTAACAGAGTCAAAATCAACAAATGATGCTTGCATGATTTGTATGGAGAGATGTGCAAACTTGTTGGGCTTGCAGTTCATGCAAGTGGCCCCTTCATTCTGGTGAGTTTAAACTGCTTTCTTGGGCTGGGCTTGGGTGCTGTCAAAGAGAAAGCGGAGCAAGTTGGCCATGCTGTGAAGCACAAGGTTTGTGCCCGTCACTTCCAATGATTAGACAAGCTGTTGATTAGTTCTTTGCCTTGGCATTGCCACGGAAACATGAGGTTTGCAGCATTGGGTTTGCATCTTGTTGTGCTTCATGCTTGTGGCATCTCAAGGACAATTGCTGTGCACCAAAACAAGAAGATTGCAAAACATAAGGCGAAAGGTTTCCTTAAACACATGTGAGGACACATCCAGGCGTTCCTCCGCATCTGACAAACAAGGAGGTTTTTGAAATGCTCCCATTGGGAGACCCTTGGCATGCCTGGCACATGTTGGAGGCGTCGGATTACTTATGCACACATCCTCGTACCAAGATCTTCGTGGGAATCGTGTTTGAACCATTTTAAGACACGGAGTTGCGAAAGACTTTAGGGGGCTGAGAAAAGTGTTGCGATGTCGCTGAGAATGGTGGTTTGCAACCATGATTCGCATTGTTTGACATGTTTGAGGCGCAGAAACTTGGCGCAAAACGAGCGCAAAATCGCGCAATACGGGCGCAATATCCCGCAAAACGGGCGCAACATCAAAAAGTGTGCCGACCCATGCCTTGAACACCCAGGTTCCATTGCCATGTCGAACCAAAGTAATATGAGCTTGCCCGGATGGCGCTAGCATGAAGAGAAAATGCTTTCGCATTCTCTGTTCTACTTGGAATGTGTTCTGTGCTTGCATCAAAACATGTGCAGTCATGTGTGCTTTTGCGTTGTGCATCATTTTGGAGGCTCAGAAGCATGGCGCACAGACATGACAGAATGAGGCTGGTTCCTTCTGTTTGACGTTTGGTCCTCAATGCGTCAAGTTGCCACGTGTTGCAAGCAAACTATAGTCGTTCTGTGCTTCCCGTGTTTTTCTCCGTTGGCCTAGGCCCCTTTAGAAGGGGCATGAAGGACGCGCTGCCTGTGAAGTTGTTACAGTACAGGATTTCTTGGCTGTGTTATTGGGTCTCACAAGTTCATGCGATTTGAAGTTTCAATGACCATATGGGCCAAAGCAAAGATAAGGTGAGTTCAGGGCCATGGTTAGACTCCACGTTGAGATTTTCATTCGCGCAGAAAATTACAATTTGGGCTCTGAACATTGTTTGGTCCCCGGCTTCCGTACATGTGGTTTTCTGTTTACTTGGTGTCTTCCGGATAACAGCCATTAAACGGTTTGGTTTCGAAAATACTGCAAATTATCTATGGGTTCGGTCCATCCGGCTCAATCCACCGACAATCAGGTGGGTCATCCTGGCATTTCTATGAACATGTTAACTAATATCTGCCAGCGGTGGTTACTTACTTTTGCTTTTCAGGTTTCTTCTCTTCCGGATGCTGGGTATCTTGTGCTTCTGTACTTGTTGCTGCTTGCTCCAATTTCGGCTTGTTTGGTTGCATCATCCGTTCCAGCCAAACGTTGTTGAGGCATAACGTGAATCAGGGCAACAAAAAACCGGACAAGGCCGGCAAGGAGTACAGGGTAACGTTAAAACATGATGAGGCTAATCAAAGGAGTGCTGGATGCTGTTTTTGTGATCTTTGGCTATTTTTGGCTATCCTCCAGGCAAAAACAGAAGCGTTTATGAGAATGATCCGGGTTGGGTTTCGAAGAAGAGATGCCAGTTTCATACCAATGCCATTGAAGGCCTGTCCAAGGCTCTGGTTGTCGATGTGTGGAAACACAACTCACAACTCCAAGGTCTCATGTTTTTGCCCCTGTCGAGTGTGGATGCTCGAAGTGATGTACTATGCAGACGCTGCACTTGCAACGGTAGTAACAAAAATGCTCGTTATGGGGTTGGAATGTGTGCGATTCACTTGGGACAACGTCGGGGGCCACAATCCTCCGTACATATTTTTGTTTCAGAACTCTACACGAGCATATTTCTTTGAGTCGAGCGGAAAAAAGTGGTACACATTTTTGTGTACCAATGGGAGCTACAGGTATATATATATATTATTTCTTTTTTTATTTATTGCACACTGCACACTTGCATATTCACATACTGATATATATATACTTATGATAACCAATATCTTTATGTAACCAAATATTGGAGTCTTTTCTATCTTGGTATATTGCTTGTGATTTCTCTCTCTCTCTATATATATATATACATAAAATATGGTTTCACTTCATATGGCCCTCCAAATCATCATTTAATATAAAGATCGAAAAATATAGAACACCCATTATATCCATATAACATATATAACCCATGATATGATATATATATATACATATATATACATATATATATATACATATATACATATATACATATATATATACATATATATATACATATATATATATACATATATATATTTATTCAATATCTCAAGCTGCTATTTTAAGACACAGACCACGCCTGCTAGGAAGGCTTTGATGAGGAGGTGAGCCGCAAGTGGCGCTTGGCCTAGGCCTACTGGCAGCGTTTTCCGGATTTTTGGGGAGGAAAAGATGGGAAAATCCATGGGAATTCCACATAAAACTATGGGAAAATCATAGATTAAAAAAAAAACATTGTATACAATTGAAAAAAAATTTAAAGGATGCACTTCGAGGTGTTTCTTTTGCCAGGCTTGATTCAGAAGTGGTTCAAAGTGTTCTTCGGATTTTTGCTGGATACAAAGTGAGCCAGCAGCGCTTCTATAAACATGAGTTTGCTGCTGGATTCGGTCTAGTAGTTTGCCAAAGGAAGTGGAGGCAGCATACGGGCCATAATCACTTAGGGCCATATTGAAGTTTCGCAATGTGGTGCAGCCACAAGTTTAAGCTTGATAATCATAGGCAAGCAGCCTGCTGGCAACATGTCCATGTTTCCATTATCTTCAATTGCAACGCAAGCATATGGAAGCTAGCATGGTCCAGCTATTTCAGCCCAGTTTCAGCACCGAAAATGGGGACCATTGGGGACCTCTGTGAACTAAAGCTGATGCCTTGGTCATCCCCTATTGGGGGTGCAATGGGATGATGTTGATGACCCCTGTCATGGTTGAAAAATCCTGGAATTCCAAGCAACTCAGAAAAGATCAGAAAAGCATCTGAACTTTTGTTTTCAATCCAATGGGATTTTAATCCTAGTTGATGTATGGATTTGAATCACCAATCCGGAAATTTCTGTGTCGAAACATCCGTTTTTTTTGGGAAACTTCTTTTTTCATATGGTGGATTCTCCATCCAGGAGAAATTGAGACCGATGTGATGCCCTGGGCAGATACACCGTGGAGAAACATTGCTTTGACCGCGCTTTTCCGCGTGCATGGATGCTATTGCCAGGTGTCAGATTTATTGCAAAGAATCCATTCGGCTGGGTCTTGACGAGCAGAACTTAGGCGGATTCTATTGACTCAAACGTTCAAACGTTTTGACCTTACTAATTGTAACTGATAATTGAACCTTTGAACTAGTATCAAATAGTTCATTCTTGGGTTTCCACTGATTTAGTTGGACCTTACTAATGCTTTTTGCCGAATGGTAGCAACCTGGTGCCACATGCACAACATTTCAACCTGGGAAATATCTGTGGCACATGTGTTCTTCAGAAACCTGGCTGGATTCATGTCTCATCATTTTTTGGAGTATCCCAAAGTATCGTCTGAAACCAATTCGTGGGGCCCCACAATCCAACTAAAGCTGTAAAAAATACCAGTAGGAAACTGCTACCTGGACATGGTTTCCTTGTGTCGCCCTTCGAAAAAGGCTAACCCGGATGCCGCTGATTCGCCGTCACTTCGACGAACTTACCCGTCTCGTCCAGAAGAAGAAAGATGGTGCTGCTGGGGGCAGCTGTATGGTGTTGGACAGGTCGGACAGATGTGTTAAGACACAAATGGGATTCCCGACTGGGGATGGGTCAAAACCATTCAAAACCTATAATTCCATATTATTCCCATATGACTGGAGGATACTGGAGGAATAAACATCCATTAACCAGCTAGTTTCGCTATTTTAGGGTACCTAGGGTGCCAGGGTTTTGACTCATAGCCAAGTATGAGTGTCTAAGAAGATGCACTGTTTCTTTTAGCAGCAACTATGGGATCGTCATTGGCCCTAGGGCCCTAGAACCAACAATGCCTGAGCTCCATGGCGATCGCGGCCATCATGGAAACCCAAAAATTTTCAGAGTGGGTATGGTAAACTCCCACTGAAATGAAGTGGATTTTTTTTCAGCTGTTCTATTTTTGTTGGGTTGCTATACACTGGTAATCAAACGTATAAGTCCGTATAAGTGAATACAGTGAATCTGTTGTATGCCTTCCAGCGATATTTTGGCAGATTTGTAGCTACAAGTGAGGCCAGAAATCCTGATTTCACCACTGCAGCCATGGATGACTGAGAAAAAAATATATTCTTATGACTTATGATTTCTTATGGACATATTTGGGGTAGATATTTGGGCATATATATTTGAAGAAGGATATACATTTGGACGTATATGTGTATAAAGTATTATAATTTTGTACCCCCCTTGGATGCTTTCAGCTCGATCAAACCAAAATGGCTCGAAAACGGCTGGTTGTTCTGGGTGGCCGCCACGGCTCAGTAGGGACAATAGCTTCCACTGCCATCTTTTCACGGCCTCGACACCTTTTTTCATCATGAACTCGCTTCGCCACTGGGCATCATGCGATGGACACATGTCGGGATGATCCTTGAATTTTGATGGATAATATCAGCCAATTCAAGGCGATTAACAATGATTTAATTATATAATACACATATATATATATGCACCTTATATTCTTTTATGTATACGTACCATTGTATACCTGTATGTATATATATTTATGTAAATAAACAGTATCGTACGATGCAATGCCATACACCAAGGATGGATATTTTGAGTTGGGGCTCTGCATCTAAGGCCCATCCTCCACAGTTTTGGCGCAGAAGTTGGCCTGCGGCCCCAAGGGCGGTTTGATCTATCCATAGGATAGGAATATCACCATTGAGCAACATCCCTTGGGGAATCTGACCAAGATAGTTATTTAACTTGATCCAGAAACACTTTGGGAGACTCGAGGCTTTTTGTATTGTGACTTTGAAACATGTTTTTCTTTTCCATAGTTATGGACCATATTGTTGTTTGCATCATATCCGATCCAACAAGATTTCTTTTTCTCAACCATGTGTTTGTAATGATAGTATATGATAGTAATATTCATCATATGATCAACAAAAAACACCTACTGTATTTTTGAGATTATCTGGGAGCCAAGCACCTCAAACTGCCTGGGCCATAAGGTGCTGGCTCACTAATACGTAAAATGGTTCTGTACGTAAATTACATAGATATTATGAATATATAATATGTGTATATCTATTATATATTTTATGCGTTATATATATATTATGCCAGATGTTATCTTAATGTATATTCGACAATACTTAAATATGGTGTTGTCTACAATAGAATGGATTGGTTTAGAGGGACCAATCTACAGAACACCATCCATTTTCCCATGGGAATGTGGGGTTGTCGGTTTCAAGTTTCCCTTAAACCAGTCCATTGAATACTATAACTGGTTGGTGGTTTGGAACATTTTTTTATGTTCCATAATTATATGGGAATCATCGTCCCAACTGACTATATAATATTTTTCAGAGGGGTTGAAACCACCAACCAGATAATGTTGGCTGATGATTTGAACTGTTTTGTATGTCCCGTCCAAATGCAATGATCCCATTTGCTGGACTGGGGCGCTGGTGGCCTAACCGCCAATCAGAATGGCCCTTTTAGCGTTCTCAACGGTCCATCAATTATAATATACATTACTATACATAATTTACATATAAATCACATAAACATGATATTCATATCATGAGTAACACCCTGGGCATCCCTGAGCTATCTTCATGGCCCATCAATGCACCAACACACTGCCCTGGCAGGGCTCCGCCTTTCGAATTGCAGGGGTCCGTGGCTTCTCTTCGTTGCAGGTGAAGGCCCCTTGGTGATTCATGGGGAGAGTAACCAACCGCTGCAGCGCTGCAGCGCTGCAGCGCTGCGCAGGTTGATGACTTTTGCTTCCACGTTGACAAGAACCTTCCCAAGGATGGTAAGCAGGTGGCCGATGACCGCGTTGTGTGACCGCGTTGTGTGACCTGTGGCGACCTCTACCGTTAAACCCCTGGGATGGTCGGCAAACCATGGCACGGTAAAAACATCGGTGATGATCCATGAAGTTGCTGGCCAGAAGGGACCCAGTCTGGCCAGATTCTCGATAGGATTTTGAATATACTCTTTTTATTCACTGTCCACTAAAAATTCCACTTCAAAAAACACTTCAGGCATCACCTCAGTAGATATTCTCACCATCTCATTTTGTGTTAGACCCATGACATGTGGAATTTGAAAAAGACTCCCTGTTGGGATGATGACCTGAGACAGGTCGTGTTTGCAACAGCTTGGTTGGCCACTGACAACGTCTTTGTGGTGGGGCGTCCGAGGGGTCCAGTTGTGTTTCCCGGGACAGGGACTCCTTGGGTTTGTGTATTCTTGTGCCACAATGTTTGCTGTAATAGGGAAAAATATATGCTAAACTCTTGGAAATTTATGGGTCTACTTTAACACAAACCCTTGAATGTGCAATAGTCGGAAGTTGGATGGTATATATATATATATATATATCCAGATTGGGGGATGATCATGAATTCATTTAACAGGGATTTATACACCCGTCAGAAGGAGTCCCTAATGATGGGATGACCATAAACCATATGTATTTTTTTGACCATCGCACACATAGTCCCATGATGGCCAAGCACTTGTGACGCAGGGGAAGAACCCTGACATCACTATGGTTAACCTGGGTAGAATATGGTAGATTTTCCTCTTGTCACTGGAAGTTGGAGCACTGAATATGACTTGTGATATAGAACTTGTATCAACTTGTATCCTTGTGGTAAACTGGATCTGACTTCCTTAGTTTCACCATTTTGTCGCCACGATTTTCAAGCCTCGAGCGCAGACATCGCCCCAATGCGAAAGGCCCTGATGCGAAAGCATTTCCCAGAGGTGTTGGACGGCGGGGACCTCAGGACCTCGTGATCAGGTGACTTTGACTCTTCCACAGTCTGTCGGTCTGTTCCAGGTCCATGTTGAAAACTGAAAACGTGGATTTCTTTCTCCATGAGGGATGGTAACCCGCTAGGTTTCAATACGCCGAATGGTATGATGATGTATCATCAACCAGAGTCATTGGTACATCATTTATACCAGAGAGCTTGGATTCTCTTAAGCTATGCCTACTATACCACGTGTCTAGCTTCACTTTTCGACATTCCTTCACATCCTCATTCATAGCTTGAATCAGAACATACACTAAATTTAAATCTTAGTGCTGTACAATTCCTATTTCATTTTGGTGGTTTCGAGGCTAATTCTCTATTTTTATGGCTCCTTTGGCCAAATTAAAAAAACCCTGCATTTTTTCCAGAAACTTCTTCCGTGACGTCACGGCAAGGTATGAACTTGGTAGCCATTGATACCATGCATCTCTTCCCAACTACTCTGGAATGTGCCAAGCTAGTTGAGGCGTGGGGCTGTTTATGACACCTCTAACATCTGCTGGTTGATCATGTTGGAATCCGGCTACCGGGAAACAGTTTGCGGAATCCCCTATGAATGGGCATTTTGATCTAGGAATCTAGGAAAATCATCAATAAATGGGGAAATGTTCATTGCCATATTTGATTTGCGGAGAACAAAGTTTTTAAAGTGGCCATGAATGGGGATATTTCAGACACAGTAGTTTGGCTTACTGTAGTGGTTTTCGTGGCAAATCGACGATTGTCATATCTTCAGCCATTTGAACCCTAAAATACTGTCCTGCGTGGACCAAAATAGGTCCTTAAAACTATTGCATTGTGGATGATTTGATGAGGCGGTCCACACCTGTGCATTTTGTATTGGCAAAGGGACAAGTGGACAAAACAACGCAAGAGTTCCCGTGGAACTAAGCATTCACGGTTTGCAGGCTGTTGCAATTTTCTGTGCTGACTGCAAAATGCTGCAGTGCAAATATGTCTTTACTCAGAAGTTGTACAAGACTCGTGGAGTTTCGTAGTCTTGTAGATACTGCAAGTGCTAGGAGTATTTGGTTGCAGGATTTGCAAGGATATGCAGTGGTATCAGTGGTCTACTTCCTTTTGAGACCCCCTGCCATTTAAGGGAAATCTGCCAGTCCCCTCCAAATTTGTAGTGAATCCCCAACGCTTCAGCAGCTTCACTTCGACAGGCAAAGTATGGAAAGAAGGCAACACTTGTCGTTTGTGGTCGGGATTGGTCCAGGGTGCTGTTGCAAAACTGAGGTGCCCCTTGTGGAGTACCATCATATCCCACATGTTGATGAGATTATTCTATTATATTTTCGATTATATCCCCATTGTAGTATAGTAGAGACTTAAATCCCATGAATAATTATCAAATCTATAATGCCTCATCATCTTCCATTTTTTCAAGTCGGACCCTCTGACCCTTTCATGTCCCAAAAAATTGGCTGTTGCTTCTTGGGCGCCATTCGCCCTTTGGAGCCTCGAGGCACTGTGGAAGATGCCGGCTGGCGTGACCACGTGCCGTGCCCAATGATTCCACCATTCGGTTTCCACTCGCTTTGAAAATAACCATGTTTAAAAAAGGTAAATCATCTATAAATTGGCCATTTAACTTTTATCTCTAAGTCAGGATTATCAATTTTGGGCTACTTTGTGAATACAGTGATTCTCCATGTAGAGACCCAGTAAATCATCTATTATTATTGGCCATTTCTCTTAGCTATAATGGAAAATCACCATTTTTAATAGGTAAATCATCTATAACTGGGCCATTTTCAATAGCAAACTGTTAATTTACCAGAGGCTATGCCAGTTGTCCTGTTCCGAGGCTCGATGAGTTCATCGCCAAGTACGGCGACTGCGAGGCAGCCAGTTGGGGCTAAGAATTCTTTGTTTCCCATCCCACATGATAGCACACTTACACTGTAAGCTGTTATAGTATTTGTATGTAATTATTGAAAAATACATATATCAATGTTATTATTCAAACTATTTATAGCTAGATCTTGGTACTTTGAAAACCATGTCTTGTGTTTGGCAGCAGAAACTGGTATTGTATTGGATTTCATTGGGACAATCATGGGCAGCAGTCAGTTTAGAAACAGCCCCAGAGGAATAGGCCCAGCCGCCCTATGACTTCCTCTTGATGCCAGCACTGAAGCCTTGAAAGCTGAGAGAAGTTGAAGAGCTTTGGATGTTTCTCATTTTTAATGGGATGTTTTTTTGGGACTCGTAAAACATGGTAAAACCATCAATAAACCATCGAACTATGGAGAACTTCATGGGATTTCACCAGCAATGATGATCCCCAGGACTTTCCTGAAAGCGTAAACCAATCCATTGACGTCTGTATATCTATTTTATAGATAATTATTATATCATGAGAATTAATTATATATCTATCTATGAAAAAACATATATTATCTATCTATTCTATATCTCTATTATATATCTATCTATTAATATATATATTGTATATATGATCAAAGGAAGTTTAGTGGGAGAAACTTCCGTGTTACGGACTTTTAGAATGTAAAGAAAGAGTTAGTCAAAGAAAGAGTTAGTCAAAGAAAGAGTTAGTCAAAGAAAGAGTTAGTCAAAGAAAGAGTTAGTCAAAGAAACAGTTAGTCAAAGAAAGAGTTAGTCAAGGAAAGAGTTAGTCAAAGAAACAGTTAGTCAAAGAAAGAGTTAGTCAAAGAAAGAGTTAGTCAAAGAAAGAGTTAGTCAAAGAAAGAGTTAGTCAAAGAAAGAGTTAGTCAAAGAAAGAGTTAGTCAAAGAAAGAGTTAGTCAAAGAAAGAGTTAGTCAAAGAAAGAGTTAGTCAAAGAAAGAGTTAGTCAAAGAAAGAGTTAGTCAAGAAACATTATCAGGGAAAGAGTTAGTCAAAGAAAGAGTTAGTCAAAGAAAGAGTTAGTCAAAGAAACAGTTAGTCAAAGAAGAGATTTAGTCAAGAAAGAGTTAGTCCAGGGAAAGATTAGTCAAAGAAGGAGTTAGTCCAAAGAAACGTTGTCAAAGAAGAGTAGTCAAAAAAGGTTAGTCAAGAAAATTAGTCAGAAACAAGTTAGTCAAAAAAAGATTTAGTCCAAAGAAAGAGTTTGTCAAAGAAGAGTTAGTCAAAGAAAGAGTTAGTCAAAAAGAAAAGAGTTAAGTAAGAACGAGTTAGTCAAAGAAACAGTTTTTAGTCCAGGGAAAAGTTAAGTCCAGAAGTAGTTAGAGTCAAAGAAAGAGTTAGTCAAATGAAACGTAAGTTCAAAGAACGAGTTTAGTCAAAGAAAGAGTTTAAGTCCAAAAAAGAGTTGTCAAAGAAGAGTTCTCAAAGAAAACATTTTTCAAAGACCCGTTTTAGTCAAAGAAACATTAGTCAAAGAAAGAGTTAGTGAGGGAAAGAGTTAGTCACAGAAAGAGTTAGCAAAGAAAGAGTTCGTCAGGGAAAGAGTTAGTCAAAGAAAGAGTTAGTCAAAGAAACAGTTAGTCAGGGAAAGAGTTAGTCAAAGAAAGAGTTAGTGAGGGAAAGAGTTAGTCAAAGAAAGATTTAGCAAAGAAACAGTTAGTCAGGGAAAGAGTTAGTCAAAGAAAGAGTTAGTCAAAGAAACAGTTAGTCAAAGAAAGAGTTAGTCAAAGAAAGAGTTAGTCAAAGAAAGAGTTCGTCAAAGAAAGAGTTAGTCAAAGAAAGAGTTAGTCAAAGAAAGAGTTAGTCAAAGAAAAAGTTAGTCAAAGAAAGAGTTAGTTAAAGAAAGAGTTAGTCAAAGACAGAGTTAGTCAGGATATATGAGGTAGTCAAAGAAAGAGTTAGCAAAGAAAGAGTTCGTCAGGGAAAGAGTTAGTCAAAGAAAGAGTTAGTTAGGGCATTGATTGTTCCCGCAATGCAAATGGGATTGCAAGTGGTGCTGGTGGATGAGTTGCCGATGGAGTTTTGAAGGAAGTCTCGCACGAAATACGTTTTTGAGAGATAGCAGATGCACGAAAGCCTATGTTTTTCCATACAAAGTCCGTCCCCGAACGTCGATGATCTACCTCTGCGGTGCGACGGGTGCGAGACGGTCTCGTGTGTGGTCGGATCATCCTCGGATCATGCTCGGATCATTCTCGGATCGGTTCCGCATTGTAAATGGGGTTTCAACTGTTTTTCGTGCATGTGTGGTCGACAGAATCCCATTGTGATTTGCAACTGTAGGATCGTTCCCGCATTGTAAATGGGGTTGCAAGTGGTGCTGGTGGATGAGTTGCCGATGGAATTCCATTGTGATTTGCAACTGTAGGATCGTTCCCGCAATGCAAATGGCATTGCAAGTGGTGCTGCCGGATGAGTTGCCGATGGAGTTTTGAAGGAAGTCTCGCACGAAATGCGTTTTTGAGAGATGGCAGATGCACGAAACCCTATGTTTTTCCATACAAAGTGTGTCCACGAACTTCGATGATCTACCTCTGCTGTGCGACGGGTGCGAGACGGTCTCGTGTGTGGTCGGATCATGTTCGGATCATGTTCGGATCGGTCTCGGATCATGCTCGGATCGGTTCCGCATTGTAAATGGGGTTTCAACTGTGTTTCGTCTATGTGCGGTCGACAGAATTCCATTGTGAATTGCAACTGTAGGATCGTTCCTGCAATGCAAATGGGATTGCAAGTGGTGCTGCCGGATGAGTTGCCGATGGAATTCCATTGTGAATTGCAACTGTAGGATCGTTCCTGCAATGCAAATGGGATTGCAAGTGGTGCTGCCGGATGAGTTGCCGATGGAGTTTTGAAGGAAGTCTCGCACGAAATGCGTTTTTGAGAGATAGCAGATGCACGAAACCCTATGTTTTTCCATACAAAGTGTGTCCACGAACTTCGATGATCTACCTCTGCTGTGCGACGGGTGCGAGACGGTCTCGTGTGTGGTCGGATCATCCTCGGATCATCCTCGGATCATGGTCGGATCGGTCTCGGATCGGTTCCGCATTGTAAATGGGGTTTCAACTGTGTTTCGTCTATGTGCGGTCGACAGAATTCCATTGTGAATTGCAACTGTAGGATCGCTCCCGCAATGTAAATGGGATTGCAAGTGGCGCTGGTGGATGAGTTGCCAATGGAATTCCATTGTGATTTGCAACTGTAGTATCCTTCCCGCAATGTAAATGGGATTGCAAGGTTGCTTCCTGCTTTGGCTGCATACGTAATACTATTGTCTTTTGCAGCTGGGCTTCGTAAATCGTATTGGAGTGGCTGCATGAAGGCTGCGACAGTGATTTGTCAGCAGATTTTCTTCATTTAGGCGCTAGTGATTTTCCTTCTAAAAATCTTTTAAAAAGTGCTTCAAAATCTTTTTTTTTCGCTCTGGCGTCGAGATCCGGTTTTGGAGCTTCAATTTCCGCACTCCAATGCGCGTAGTTCTATTGTCTTTTGCAACTCGTCCTCTGCAGATCGCCGAATTGTCATGGCCTGCGCCAAGGTTGCTTCGTGCTGTGGCTGCATTGGTAATACTATTGTCTTTTGCAGCTGGATCTCGTAAATCCTATTGGAGTGGCTGCATGAAGGCTGCGACAGTGATTTGTTAGCAGATTTTCTCCATTTTGGCGCTAGTGATTTTCCTTCTAAAAATCCTTTTAAAAAGTGCTTCAAAATCGTCTTTTTTTCGCTCTGGCGTCGAGATCCGGTTTTGGAGCTACACTTTCCGACGCCGTTGCGCGTAGTTCTATTGTGCTTTGCAACTCAGTCTCTGCAGATCGCATTGTAATGGCTGCGTCAAGGTTGCTGCGTGCTGTGGCTGCATTCGTAATACTATTGTCTTTTGCAGCTGGATCTCGTAAATCGTATTGGAGTGGCTGCATGAAGGCTGCGACATGGATTTGTTAGCAGATTTTCTCCATTTTGGCGCTAGTGATTGTCCTTCTAAAAATCCTTTTAAAAAGTGCTTCAAAATCGTCTTTTTTTCGCTCTGGCGTCGAGATCCGGTTTTGGAGCTACAATTTCTGACGCCGTTGCGCGTAGTTCTATTGTGTTTTGCAACTCAGTCTCTGCAGATCGCATTGTAATGGCTGCGTCAAGGTTGCTTCGTGCTGTGGCTGCATTCGTAATACTATTGTCTTTTGCAGCTGGATCTCGGAAATCGTATTGGATGGCGCATGAAGGCCTTGTGACCATGATTTGTTCGTCAGTTTTCTCCCAACATTTTGGCGCTAGTGTTTTGTTGTTGCACTTAGGTTTAGAGCAGTGTGAAGTGGGGGCGTGAAGAGTGCAGTGTGAAGTGTGCAGTGTAAGGAGCAGTGGGAAGTGAGAAGTGTGAAGTGTGAGTTAGTTTGAAGTTTTAAGAGTTTTGTGGAGCGCTAGAGCGCCGTGTGAAGTGTGAAGTGTGGAACGTGGAGTTTTGGGAGTGTGGAAGAAGCAGTGAGAATTTGAAGTGTGGACTTATGGGAAGTGGGTGAAGTGTGAGTGAAGTGTGGAGTGCGAAGTGCGAAGTGAGAAGTGTGAAGTGTGAGTTTTGGAGTGTGAAGTTTGGAGTGGGAAGGAAGCAGTGAGAAGTGAGAAGTGTGAAGTGTGGAGTGTGAAGTGTGGAGTGTGAAGTGCGAAGTGAGAAGTTTGGAGTGTGAAGGAAGCAGTGAGAAGTGAGAAGTGTGAAGTGAGAAGTGTGAAGTGTGGACTGTGAAGTGTGGAGTGCGAAGAGCGCAGCGTGAAGTGTGAAGTGTGAAGTGTGAAGTTTGGAGTGTGAAGGAAGCAGTGAGAAGTGAGAAGTGTGAAGTGTGGACTGTGAAGTGTGAAGTGTGAAATGTGGAGTGTTGAAGTGCGAAGTGAGAAGTGTGAAGTTTGGAGTGTGGAAGGAAGCAGTGAGAAGTGAGAAGTGTGAAGTGTGGACTGTGAAGTGTGGAGTGTGAAGTGCGAAGTGAGAAGTGTGAAGGAAGCAGTGAGAAGTGAGAAGTGTGAAGTGAGAAGTGTGAAGTGTGGACTGTGAAGTGTGGAGTGCGAAGAGCGCAGCGTGAAGTGTGAAGTGTGAAGTGTGAGGTTTTGGAGTGTGAAGGAAGCAGTGAGAAGTGTGAAGTGTGGACTGTGAAGTGTGAAGTGTGAGTGAAGTGTGGAGTGTGAAGTGCGAAGTGAGAAGTGTGAAGTGTGAAGTTTGGAGTGTGAAGTTTGGAGTGGGAAGGAAGCAGTGAGAAGTGAGAAGTGTGAAGTGTGGAGTGTGAAGTGTGGAGTGCGAAGTGCGAAGTGAGAAGTGTGAAGTTAGGAGTGTGAAGGAAGCAGTGAGAAGTGAGAAGTGTGGAGTGTGAAGTGCGAAGTGTGAAGTGTGAAGTTTGGAGTGTGAAGGAAGCAGTGAGAAGTGAGAAGTGTGAAATGTGGAGTGTGAAGTGTGAAATGCGAAGTGAGAAGTGTGGACTGTGAAGTGTGAAGTGTGAAGTGTGGACTGTGAAGTACGAAGTGTGAAGTGTGGACTGTGAAGTGTGA